ATGTTTATAAATTCCACAAGAATTGCAATTGTTTTTTTCAAGTCAATTGTAAGCAAGTAACTACCATAACTGGAATTTTTAGATTCCATAAAATCTACTTAATTTGCATTTCGTGTTTTAAAACACTTTCATCGATTACCTTATAACCGGCTAATTGCTGTCGTATCGTACATTGACAATAAAAAAATCAAATTGTCTATCCCCGACAGTTTAATTGATATGCCAGTCAGGGGATAAGCGTTAGGTTTTTGATCCGAACTGACATTGTACCATTTATACATTATATATTAACTGGATTGACCCATTTAAAAGTCAGGGACAGACTCGAGTTGATATTGAACTAGGTTAAAATTGACAGATCTTCTATTTTTGCTCGATCATCTCTATTGTTCAAAGTGCTCCAGTTTCAAAGAGTTTAGTTGATTAAGTTTGATGTCAGTTGCTTATAATTTACCTCGGACTTTGCTTAATTACAGATATAGTTTGTCACGTTTTGTTCAACAATATTTATGATATTTTTGGCTGGCATTTTTACTTCAAACAAAGCCCCGACTTACTTTAATCGTTGCATCTGTCAACGAGCTTAAGACAAAGGCTATAAAAGAGATTGAAGATAGTTTCCAGAGGGTATTTACAGCTTCGGGGTTTCTGGTTTTAAACTCGTTTTGATTTTTGCTACCCGGCAAAAAAAAAACGTTGAATAAAAACAATTGCTTCGTCATCGGCAAGACAACACAATTCACTGCAAAAATAAGAGAAAAAACCATTATTTGCATTTAATAGGCGGCTAGTTAATGGTATTGATCATTTTTCATACGACTTGTTTATTTATGCATATCATGTTGGCTCTAAAGAATTGGCTGCATTTGAAATTTTACGATTGCCTCGTTTTGGTGATTGTTTTTAAATTTAACTCTATATTGATTAGACAACAGTTTGTTTTCTGGATTATTTCTATTGTTCACTAATCTTATAGTTTTTATTGTTTTGCGAAGGAGTGCCAATTGTATGAGCATAGCCCGATTAGAATTTCAAACAAAAGTTCTTTGTTCTTCTGCATCGGCGATACCAGTAATCAGCCTTTTTCCAGACGTCTCAGTTACTGACTGGCTACTGGTATTATTTCTGTATGCAGATTGAAAGTCAACTAATTACAGTCAGTATCTGGGGGCTGCTATTTCCGCTTGCAAGCGGCAAAACGCAAAAAAAAAATTAAGAAATCTTGGAAAATACGCCTTTATTCAGTTGGGCCGGGCGAAAGGCCGCAAAAGTTCACCAAAACAATGTGAATACAATACCCAGTGGCATGCAATTATCTTTCAGAGTACATAATATCTGCTATTACTGGGTGGGATATGCTATCTCTCCGTTTTCGAGGTAATTATTTGCTTACATCAGACTTTGATCATCTGGCGAAGTATTTCCCAGTGGAAACTTCTCTAATTTGTTCAAAAAAGCATCTTGAAGGCAAAGATCGTACTACAATCTTACCGGTTATAAAAATAAACAAGTTAATTGTAAACATGTACTTGATTGGAAAAAGATTGCACGGCTGTAAAATAAATTAACTTTACCTTTCAGTAGTTCTTGTTTATTACCGTCACCCCATTGTTGATTAGCAATTATAATGTTATTACTTTTTTGGTGTTAAAATATGAAAGGGATAACAATATTCCTAAATATCTCGAACATTTCAAAATATCTGGCTCAACAAGTCGCTTAAAATAATTCTTTTAAGTCCATAATGTTAAAATGGGTAAAACTTGATAAAACTAAGATTTTTTGGCCATTTTTCGTGATGGGATCCCTTGAAAATGCGGTTTTCCCCTATATGGCCCACAGGGATAGCTATATCTTCCCCATTCCTCATCCGATTCTCAAGCGGAGTACCTTAAACGATTTGTGGATTGATTCGCCACAATTCTGCATCAAAATCCTGAGACAAAATAATTTTCAGATTTTTTGTCCATTTTTCGTCGGGGATCCCTTGAAAATGCGGCTTTCCCCTATATGGCCCACAGGGATAGCTATATCTTCTCCAATTGTTATCCGATTCTCAAGCGGAGTACCTTAAACGATTTCTGGATTGATTCGCCACAATTCTGCATCAAAATCCTGAGACAAAATATTTTTTAGAGTTTTTGTCCATTTTTCGTGATGGGATCCCTCGAAAATGGGGTTTTCCCCTATAGGGCCCACAGGGATGGCTATAACTTTCCCAATTCTTATCCGATTCTCAAAAAGAGTACCTTAAACGATTTCTAGATCGATTCGCCACAATTCTGCATCAAAATCCTGAGACAAAATATTTTTTAGATTTTTTGTCCATTTTTCGTGATGGGATCCCTCGAAAATGGGGTTCTCCCCTATAGGGCCCACAGGGATGGCTATAACTTTCCCAATTCTTATTCGATTCTCAAGCGGAGTACCTTAAACGATTTCTGGATCGATTCGCCACAATTCTGCATCAGAATCCTAAGACAAAATAATTTTTAGATTTTTTGTCCATTTTTCGTGATGGGATCCCTCGAAAATGGGGTTCTCCCCTATAGGGCCCACAGGAATGGCTATAACTTTCCCAATTCTCATCCGATTCTGAAGCGGAGTACCTTAAACGATTTCTGGATCGATTCGCCACAATTCTGCATCAAAATCCTGAGACAAAATAATTTTCAGATTTTTGGTCCATTTTTCGTCGGGGATCCCTTGAAAATGCGGCTTTCCCCTATATGGCCCACAAGGATAGCTATATCTTCCCCAATTGTTATCCGATTCTCAAGCGGAGTACCTTAAACGATTTCTGGGTCGATTCTTCAATATTCTGCATCAAAATCCTGAGACAAAATATTTTTTTGTTCATTCTCAAACGGAGTATATAGTTTTGAGACACATTTCAGAAAATTTTATCAAGTTCGAATATATCCAGTGCAACTTAAGAAAGAAATACAAATCAAGGTCATATTTCCACGAACTTTAACTGCTTTTTATATAAAAATATTTTCCTTTTAAAAACTGAACCCATCTCATCTCAGTTGAAGTTTATACAAAAACGTAAAAAACTTCAATTAACGTGAATGTCAGCTCTATTTTAAACAAAAACCTGAGCTAAAAAAGCTGATTCATTAAGAGTTTGTTTATTTTCCACAACATTGGGACTACCCTAAGTGGTTTAATTTAAAACCAAGATTCCCTGAGTGGCACTTAAACCACAGAAATTATTAAGATGTTCTTCGGAAATGGGTTCCTGGCAATTATCACCTATTTGCTATTTTCGTACTACAAGGTAGAACTTTGCCCTCTTACTTACCGAGTTTATTTTTTAGTTTAGCTGTGATAAACAAATTAACGTAAATGGAGATTATACTAATGTTAATTTCATAAGTTTAGAGTTATTTTCGCAAGTTATATGTAGTATGGAATTAACCCTTTTTTTGCGTAAACTACCTGACATTTTGCATGCGGCTAATTGGCAATTATACAGAGCTCACGGAAACGGTGTCATGAAAAGTGTCTCAAAATTACACTTATTTTTTTTGGTTTTTCGCCTGTCACACCCAGGTCTACCACTGTCATTTGTTTATCTTATTTAATTGGATTTTACAACACACATGGCTAAGATTGACCAAGAAATTAGTATGCGCATATCTTTATGGGCTGTTGAACTCCACAAGAGCCCCTCTAAAAGAGCAGCTCAAACACAAAAGCCCAAAAGTAAATAATAGCATAAATTACCCAAGATTCATTGACGAAATTTCGGGAAGCCACAGCGAGTCATAAAAGCAAATGAAAATACTTTTCAGTATTTCAGTCAGCCTACAGTGTGTCCAAAGTATTCGGCTTTGATACGAAGTATAAACCGATCTAAGCCTGGCCTTGACTTTTACCTTCATTTCGACCACAACCAAGTCATATCAAAAACTTACTAATTGCTTTGAATCATAAGAGAAGTCGTAAATCAGTTTTTATGGTCTACGATTTGCACTACACTAGTTTTTTTTTGGCTCAGTCTACTAGATTCTTTGGCTTCAGTTTTCTGTGCCATTGTCAAGTCCTTCGTGACAGGGCGCATAGATCACTTGGCCATTTAATCATTTGGGCAGCAAGCCAGCTCACAAACTGCTACGTCATCGGATTTGACTTTTTTTTCCAATTTTTGTTTTGCTAGCCAAGGTGTTGCCAAGTCGTCTGCGAGCCGGGCATTGGGGTGGGCACGTTTGGGATTGAATAGCCGAAAAAAAATCATAAATTAAACATTTAGAGGGGAAACAAGTTAAATATATACACTCTTACATGCCCTTACTGAAACCTTTTTACGAGAATTTGCTTTGATTTTTTATTAGCTTTCTTTAAGCTCAAGTTCATAAACTCAACAATAAAATTTTCACAAAAATAAACCTTTCTAGATTGAATTATAAATATATTCTTTCAATCTTTGAAGCTCTCGCATACAAATAAAGTTTAAAATTATCTAATGAAAGACCTCTAGAATTTAGAACACCAATCTTTTAAGCTTAAAAATAAATATTGATTTATGATCTAAGAAGTTTGGCAAACACCCTGACCGAGTTATCAACACCTTTGCAGTGAGGGTATCGACCAATTTTATTTTAGCCATTGAACGCACGTTGTGCGACCAGTTTTGGGCTCTATTGTCTAGAGTTTTATCTATATATCTGAATGTATATATATATTTTTTTTTAACTTCAACACCCCCTTGATCTATCAACTATTACCTGTTCGATCGGCGGCCTCTTCTTCCGTTGTGGCGATTTTGCGGCGGCTTTTGCTAATGAAGATCAGCATTGAGTCATGTGTATATGTATATTTATCAATATCTATATAAACATAGATAGTTTCCATTGGAGCAAGGCATTGAACTGTTGCCGCTTTTGCTTTTCGCTGCGGAAGTAACCCAGTTGTGCCAATCGCTTTGAGGAAATGGTTGCCAAACCACTCAAAATGTTCAAGCCAGACCAAAACAATCTTATTCTCGTTCGCAGACTGAACCGGTGAACAACTCCACGGTAGACCAAAGATCACAGACCAGATCAGATCACATCACATTTTATCAAAATGGGCAAGGCAGAGTGCATCAGTTACGATGAACAGAAACTACCCTACATTGATCTGGGTTCAGCTCGGATTCGGATGGAGAAGGAACAGGCTCCAGAATGGGCATTGAAGAAGGCACAGGACGAGCTCAGAGAGTTGCCAGAGATCAAGGATAAAGCCATCAAGGAGCTTAGGGAACTTCTTCAAAGTGAGTCTGCTTAAGATATATATAATTTTGTACTTAAAAATTAACTTTTATTCATTTAAAAAAAAGATGAAAAGTATCTGAACCTGCCGCTGGATGATGAGTACATGATGATGTTCCTGCGTCCTTGCCATTACTATCCAGAAAGTGCCTTGAAAAGGGTGAGTAGTTGAATAAATTTACCAAATTTTAATTATATTTTGTTCAATTTATTTTTTAGCTCAAGAACTTCTATCACATGAAACTGAAATACGGAGTAGCTTGCGAAAATATCATCCCTTCCCAACTGCGAAATGTATTTGAGGCAAATATTTTGAACTTGTTGCCCCAAAGAGATCAGCATGGTCGTCGTTTGTTAGTGCTCGAGGCTGGAAGTAAGTTCTAATATAAACAAAATCTAAAACTTAATTAAATATTTATGATAAATTCCAGAAAAATGGAAGCCATCTCAGGTGCCTTTGTCGGATTTGTTCCGTGGTATTCAGTTGACAGTTTTGGGTTCCATGGTGGAGCCTTATTCACAAATTTGCGGTGCCGTTGTTATCATCGATATGGAGGGTATGGATTAACAACTAAATGATTATAGATAATCTTTATAATGGGGGTCTTTTTTGACTTTATAGGCTTGCCACTTAGCCACATTACACAGTTTACACCTTCGTTTGCTGCCATGTTGCTGGATTACGTACAGGAATGCATTTGCATGCGATTAAAAGCAGTTCACATTGTGAATAACTCATATATATTCAATATGCTCTTTGCCATATTCAAACCATTCATTCGTGAAAAGTTGCGCAAGAGGGTAAGCTAAACTATTTCTTAAAAAAATAATAAAATAGTAATAATGTTCTCTTTTAGATCTTCTTCCACGGCAAGGACTACAAAGCTTTGATCTCGCACATTGATGCCAATGCCTTGCCACCAAAATACGGAGGAACTGCCACCTGGGAACTGCCTCCTGGCAAGCTCCTTGGGGAATTCTTTGAGTGCTACTCCAAGGACTACGAACGTAAGATATTGTACTAGTTTTCTGTTGCAATTTACTAAATAATACTTAATTTTCAGTGGCTGACAGCTATGGATACAAAGAGGGCTACAAAATGAAGAAGTAAAAGTACAACAGTTTCCTCCTTTCCTGGATTCGTATTTTAGAACGTTAAGTTGGGTCATTTGTGATATTGCAAATATTGTCGTAAATTAAGTCTTAGTGTTGCCTTTAAATTTAAGATTCCACACAAAGATCAAAAGAATTCGATTAGGGTTTCCTAGGCAATAAAAATGATATCGTTTTGTGTAATTGTTATTGCGATAATAAATATGTAAACATTTGTTAAAAACACACAATTTTCAAGTCAACAAAACGCTTTTATTTCAAAGACACATCTATAATATTGGGGAATGTATAAGGAGTATTCGTAAGCTTATCAAAAATCGAAAAATACAGTCGACCCCGTGGGTCTCATCTTTGGCATAGGCACACAGGGAATGGTTGAAATTTAGTCGGGTGTTTCTTCATTTTAAACTAAGACCTAAGACTAAAGCACTAGGACGGCTTAACTATCTAGATGGCATAGGAGGTGCTTCTCCAACCTGGACAATCCTCAATCGTGTTTATTGTCCACTCAGGGCTGTGGAAGCGGTGGCCACACTCTCGCCCGTCTGCGATTTTATGATGGCAGGCTTTCGGCTTTTTTCTAGGAGCGGAGAACTGTCCGGAGATCCTTTGACACTCTTCTCGCACACCAGCGTAGAAGCCTTCGACTTTAACTCCTCGGCGCTGGAGAACTGAGACCGGCTCTTGTACTGGCCGTTCGACTTGGATTGTGTTTTCAGATCGTATCTGCGACTCCTGCACCAGGACATCATATGCTGAACAGGAGCCCAGCAGAGTAGAATAAGGCCAACTGCCAGGCATACTCCGGCAAAGATTTGCCCAGAGAGCAGGACAATGGGGAGTAGCTTCAATTGATCGGCCATTTCTGGGGTGATTCTCACTTTCTGCTCGAACCATATCAGTGGGAAGAATATCTTGGGAATGTCTGTGTAAAGGCTAATCCCGTCAATGGGCTCGACCAGCATGTTGACCTGGAATCTGGCCGCCACTTCCAGGGGAATGCCAGTGCTAGGCTCCACCACCATGTAGAACTCATGAGCCTCTTTCTTGGGCTCCAGACCTTCCACCTGGTCCACGAAGTACTGGTCGCCGTTAAAAAAGTGGGGATAGGACATGAAGACAGGAGATCCGAAGCGGCAGGCGCTGATGTTCATCACTCCGGAGGGAACACATTCTCCGCCACAATAGCAAAGATTCTCAGGATATAGGGTACCTGAAAAAAAATGTATATATATCAACTGTATTAAACAAAACATTCTCATTAATTTTCCCTAATTAAGGCACTAGTTAAAAAGTAATTACGCTGGGCATTTATTACCCAGACAGAGAATTATTATTTTTTATGAGATGAGAACCTGTTTTTATTAAACCTTATAACTGGTTTCATTACCTTAGAAAATGTTTTAATAACAGGTACTTATAACCTATGTATAAATTATTATTTCCACTCACCATTATCCACAGAACGGGGTCCTCCGGAGAACTTAAATCCTTTTAACCCTTCAACATCAACCGTTTCCACATAATCCAATGGAATAGTGCGGCACATATCGGGCGTAAATAATCCGACACTGTCTCCTGGTTTCAAGTTCTGTGGCTGAAATTCTCCGGCGGAACCATTGGTCATGCCACAATAGGAATCGAAAAAGCCAGTGTTTTCCTGGTAGTTCCACGAGTGCATTTGGCCCAACTTGGCCAGGTCATCGACACCCGTGAAAACATTGAAAACACCCGTGAGATCTGCACTTCCGTTGCGGGTGTAGAACCAGCCGAACTTGTCGAATGGAACCTTCACCTCGTCACCAAAAATGGGCATGGCTAGGGCCACGTCAATCATGGCGTCGCTATAGCCTGTAAAGAGGAGTTCATCGATCGTTTTTTGGACGGACATCTCGGCGCCGTACATCTTGAGGCCCACATCGATCATGGCCTTCTTTACTCCAGGCCAATGTTTTCCCGTAGCAGCAGCAGACTAAAATTTAAATAATATTAATCAATAATCAATAATAAATTTTAATCAATTTATTTTATAAATATTTCAACTAACCAATGCTACTGCATTTAGAGTAATAATCTCATCATCCAGACTGCCATTACTGCCCTCGGCATCAAAATAGAAATAGCTACGTCTTCGGTATGTCACGGAGGCATTATCCGGATGCCAGTTAATGTCAACCTTAAATATTTTTTAAAATATAAATATAATAAGAAAACCTTATACAAAATCTATAATGCTTACCTTATCTGGTTTTTCGTTAAACCGATACGGCCCCACCTGTTCCAGTATAGGTTTCGTGGAGAGATTCCCAAAGTCCTCTGGGTTAGTCCAGTTGAACAGATATATATCCAAATTGAGATCCAATGGTGGACTCTTCCAGTTGTCGTAGACACGTGTGTTGGGTGCCAGAGCCATTTCCTGTAGAAGATTAATACCCCGCAATTGGAATTAATAAAAAATCTCTACGAGTTATTCTCGATCTTCGACTGACCCGAGCCAATTGAGGCGGCCGGCTTTTCTTTTCATTTCGGCCCTTGGCCATCAATTGGCTTTAGCCACTAATCGAATGCAGCTGTCAGCTGGCCAACACATTGTCATCACAATTACCTTCTTCATGATCCAATTGAATAGGTCCACCCAGAACATTCCGCACAATATGCCAAATAGTCCCAGGCAGAAGCCGAATATGCCGATAATTAATTTGCGATTATTTTTTTGGCCCCACATAGCGCGATTTGGTGCGGGCATGGCTCACGCTGGGCAATTTTCCGTGTGAAATGGCCTCTGTAATGATATGCATGTTCTATTATTAACAAACACGATATATGAACAAGGAGAGTGACTAATAAATATCAATGACACTAACAATAAATACACGAAAGTGATGGGTGGATAAATATAAGCCAAAGTAAGGCAGATCAGTTGGACTTGAATGTTTTTCCAATTTATAAACAAATTGGGAAATGCAACAGGGTAAAGTAAACAAAAATTCTAAAAATTAATCGAATATAAAATCTATTCCAAAATATTCAAAATCTTAAAAAAAAATGATTTAAAGTATGCATCTTATTATTTAATGAAGAATAAATGTGTTTCAGAGGATTACTTTTAAAAACCTTTAGTTCCCTAATTTAATGTTGCCTATTTTTAGGCTTTACCCACCTAAAACCCGTGTAAAATATATACCCAATATTTTACAATTTAAACACAAATACAAATAAATTAATGATTACGGCTATCGAGAACAAAGAAATTTCCGTACAATGAATCGATGTAAACAATTGCAGAATAAAAAGTGCAAGGAGCACTCCAATTATTGAGTGACAAATTTCAGCATAGGGTGTGCATGTATTTTTATCAATATAATTGAATCAATTTAAGCAAAACGTGACTTTCAATTGTTGTTTACACCCGTGTAGAACGGGTTCGTGATGCAGGGAAAACTTATATACCAAAATATATATATTGTCGATTCCCGTATCAGTGGCGATAATTACAAAGCTACGCTCGACACCCGGCTATGATGTGTTTTAATTGCTCAGAGATCAGAGATTGTTGTAAGCTGAGGGATTATTATTATGAATTACTAAAACAAAAGAGTGCATTTTGAGGGGTATCCACTGTAGCCAACATGATAAGCGGATTCTGAACCTCTAGGTGAAGAAACCCATGAGGAAGCCAAACGATAATTGCTGAAAATTGAACTGCACTGCACTTATCGCTTGCCAAAAGCCAAAATTATTATTGAACCGATCTCACTCCCATCACTTGATGTATAAATATATACATCATACCGTAGGGACAGTTGTCCGAACTGTGGGCTCCATCTTCGTGATATATCGTCATAATTGAGTCTATCAATTGACCCCGCTGGAAGCTATGGTGGTTGGGTCTTTGACACTTTCCGTTATTGCACATGAATACGATGAACACGAGAATACAATTCTATATATAGTATATATTATATAGTAGAGTTTTTGTGTCTGGAAAATTGATATGATTATGTCTTCTGAATGATGAATGGCTGTCGAGTATTTGTCGGCGCCTTTTTATTGTCTATTGAGGGAATCTTTTAATTGATCTGGACATGGACTTGGACATGGAACAGGTGCATCCTTAGTGTGCGATTCATCCCACATACCATTTTATCAACTAATTCAATTAGATCAAGAGCAAACAGAAGAGATTCCTGAAGCTGATGCTGGTGTGGCACAGCCTGTGACACTGAATAATTGCCTTCAATTAAGTTTAAAATTTCCTGGGCTGCTACCCGAGATGTTTCATTTATTAATAAATTAAACATGCGTGTGGTATGAATTATATGTATGTATGAATTACTGAGATGTTGATCTTTCTTATTTGCATTTTTATGAATGCACTGCCCGATTTATGCATTCTCTATGCAAATGCCTTAAAGAACACTGAACTCCGATAATGAAAACCAAAATGAAAGTGATTTAGCTGTTGAATTGTGTCTCGATTATAACAAGTTACCTACAATGTTGCAATCTAGAGAGATTTGTTAAGCAATCTTGCTAAAAAGTGCAAGTAAAGTCATTAACTAAAGTGCACGGTTGGTGTAGGCACACACTTGTTGATTTCGTCACATTTTGTACCTATGTATAGGTTATTGAAATTTAATATTTCCGTTCATCTGTTTGTTTTTTAGTCAAACCAACTCAACACCTACGCAGACCCCTTTTTAAACCACAAAATCTGTCTCGGAGCTGAAACCACAAGTCAGAGATTTGACGCAGTTTGTAAAAAGAGATTCTCTCAGTCTGTGGGACCATGAAATCTGCATTTTCCTAGGCTATTTCTTCGATAATGAGCTATCGGCATGCAATTTCATTTTTGCAATTGTCAGCCAGCGCAGACCTTCAATGGCGGAAATACGAAACGAATATAGAACAAGCCAAAAAAGCTATAAATAAATTCATTTAGGGGGCGTGCAATGTGCAAATAAAAACAGACAAAGTCTATAGGTTTGATTTTAAAACAAACTCAAAGTCAATCAGCCATCAACAGGTTTTCACTTGAGTCACCTCTCAGGCCCTTTAATCAAGTTAAGTGGCTTAAAGTTTGAATTCCTTGAAAATGATGCACAAACAACTGCAATTAGTGATTTTACAAATTCAATTTCCCTCAACTTGAACTCTGCGAAAACAGGTCGTATACGTAATTTTCAGACCAACAGCTGTTTTCATTGAGGATTAAGAATGCTTTTTAGTCTGCGGCCTATTTTTAGCATTCTCATTGTTGCCATTACTCAGACAATCAACAGGTAGCATGAGTGCGCAGTCAAGTCAATTATTTGTATTTAAATGTTCTTTTGTTTAAAAATCCTCAAAGAAAATATAAATAAATATTTTAAAATATTTTAATGGCTTTTAACTGATGAATAAATTAAACAATAAACAATATTACAATCTTCTATTATACAATTAATAGAAGAACTAGATAAACTTCGTTAGCTTGAATTCGTTCTGGTCAATGGGTCGTATACGTAATTTTTTTTTCAAGTGACTTTTTTGAAGTAAAGTAAAAACAAATGTTTTTAAAGATAAGTTTTTCAATTATTTCGAATTGTAGTATTGTTTTAAAGCCTCACGCTACCGTAATTACGGTCAATAAATTAATTTTCAATTAATCTGAACTCGCCTTCGGTCAACAGGTCGTATGCTCAATTTTCTGCGATGCCACGCAACTTTTGCCTTTGATTATAAAATACTTTCAGTTTATTTAGCCAAATAATGACAAAGGGTTAAGGAATTAGCCAGGTAGCCCTTTGTTTTGCATTCCATATCTCTCCTGATACCCGCAAACAGAAAATCCAAACACAATGAAAATATAAACACAATGAGAAATAACATTATTGAAAGTCTCGAGTGTCGGACGACTGCTTTTATTCTTAACCAGTTGATTTCTTTTAATGGTCTTTAATCTTACGATGTCTGCCGGCGATTAAACTAAAGCAAGCCTATGGGTAATAAGAATAACTAAATATATGAGCAGTTATTCCATTTCAACTTCTAATCAAATTTCCGTATTTTCTTTTCTTTAAATTTTTAGAGATACATTTTTTTGCAGGCACTCACTTGAAATTTATTTTTTAAATAGAAACAAATCACGGTTTCGGTTTTCCGATTTTTTTTTTTTCGGTTGTATTTTTGTGTTGTTTTTGTTATCCTTGCCAAAGTCAATTGAAATTCGATAGGGATGTGGACACAGTGCTTAAGAACGTGCAGGATATATTTTATATTTATTTCTTTTATTGGAAAAAAGTGGCCGGAAACTTGGTTACGGAACCTTTTGGAAATTCCGTAGAGTGGAACTGTTACGCCCGGCGGCCTGACTTCGACTGTGCGGCGGACTCTCGAATAAACGGACCGGCGAGTAGAGCAGTGCGGCGCGAGCGGAGCGACAGAGAGAGAAGAGCGGTCGCCGTTTGTTCTTACGCTTCTGAAGTGAATATGTGATGAATGTCAGTCAAGTGCGGCACATGGAAATTCGCCTGAGAAGAGCTTCATATATGCCACAACATACTTACATATATATCTACATGTATAATATTACCGGCATGTGTGTGCGGGAGTGGTTGTTTGGGTTAATTTGCGCTTTAGATTTCCATACTTTTGTCATTGAATTTTGAATTAAACTAACGCGCGACAGACTTTCAAACTGTGAAGTGCATCCGTATGCAGGAAAAGTCAAAAATAACAGTGTGACAAAAATATAAAAAAAAAATATTATACCTAAAAAGATTTTAAATATTAATTACTGATCCTTAACGTTATTAAAAATTAGAAAAAATTAATTACTAGTTATTTAAATACTTGCATAAAAAAATAAAATATATTAACAAACATTTCATAATATCCTATAAGATTTTCCTTAATTCCTTTGATTTTTTTTACGTATTTCTCGGCAAGGGTAGAAAGGTAAACAAATCATAAAATATATAAGCCACAATTGATAACAAATCGGCGAAGCATTATCAAGGCAGCTAATCGCAATGATTAGCACTGAATGAACATATGTACATGAATAATCTTCATTCGCTTGTAATCTCCGTAAATCGTTGGGTGAGCGATCAAAGTTTTAGTCCAAATCATAGAACTTCTCAAAAACCAAACCCCAAAGGAAACTGAAGAAAATTAACATAAAAAACAGGTGAGGCAATATCACAATCCGATGTCGTTGTTCTCCTTATTGGATTATTGTTTTTTTTGTTCTAGTCTTTCCTGTGTCGTGCGAGCAGGGATTAGTATTTAGTTTGGGTCAAAGGTCAGTTACCGTCTGCAGATTATGTTGCAAGTGGAGCAACAATTAAGGTAAAAAGTGGGTCAAACCCCACGAATTGGGTCTCGGCCAACCGCTTTTTCTTTTGAATTTCCAACAGTGCTGGTAAAGCTTAAATGGTTTTGAGGCAACCAGCTTTTGAAAGCTAACAAAGAAGAGTTTTAAAGCTTTTAGTTTTTTGTGTGTGATTTGCAAAATACAAAATTATTTTAAAATTGTTTCTTAAAACTTGAAGCTAGGTTTTAAATATTTAAAAAATATACAAAAAGATAAATTTTACACTGGCTCATTTTTGTGTGTTTTAAAACATAGAACATCTCTTTATTTAGTTTGTGAATTGTATTTTTTACTTTAATGTGTTTATAAATGCAATTTTAAAAACATATATGTGCTGTATAAGCTTTTGTTAATTATCGGAAAGATGGTGACATAATAGTTTTTGGGTAATATTAAAGCCAGGTTCCTCCATATGATGGGTTGAACGAAACTGGATTAGAATAATGAGGTAGCAAGTGGCAGCGCCAGTAATCTAAAATATTTAAAACATTAAAATATTTAAAATATTATAATTTATGAATTTCAATAGCTCACCGTAAAAATCAAAGTGCGATCCAAGCGAAACAGTCCAGCGGCTGTAAAAAGGACCTTCCGGTGCGACAGCTGCAAGGACAGTCGAAAGAGGCGATCCCTCAGCTCAGGATCGTCGGTGATATTCAGGATTTTGTGGACCGTGGCAGCCGTATAGCTGCTATGCAAAATCGTCCTGCTGCTGGCCTCCACTATCAGCACAATAATCACAATATACCAAATCATTTGAATCAAAAAGAAGGCAAAGAACTCATCAGCCTCGAAGACATCCAATCTCTTGGGATTTAGAACAGCTTCGAGGATGTAAAAGTCGTCGAAGAGTATGAACAAAAAGGATATGGCTATGATGCCCAATAGGGGATACGTGAAGTACTCCTCGATGGTCTGGCAAATGTCGCAGAGTAAGTTGTGTATGTTGGAGACTTGTTTGATGGCGTACTCCGGATTGAGGCGGATAATCGAGGTAACACTGTACCGTTTCATGGGCGTACTAATGAGATTTCGTAGGCGATGGGAGTAACGTCTTTGGTTGACCACCGAATGCATGGGTGAGAGTTCCAGGACACTATATTGTTCGATGTGTGCATCCAGAATGTCCTGCAGGATCTGGCAGTGAAAATCGATAAAAGTTTAGTTAAAGCATTGAAAGGACACTCCCTGACACTCACTTCATTCAACATGCTAAATCGACTCCGGGCCAGGTCCGTGGTGCATAGAAACTTGAAGACCATCAGGCTGATATTGATGTGCGGGAGGGCGAAAGTGGTGAAGGTCTCGAACGAGGGCGAGATGGTGGCGCTCACCAGCAGTCCATAGCTGACACACAAATAGATGACATTGAAGAGCAGCATGCCCAGGGAAATGAGGAAGCTGGAGAGTAGGATCCTTCGGTAGTCCAGTTTCATGCCCAGCCGCACAAATATCTCATCCACCACAATATTGTTCTGAATGATGCTGACCAATCGCTGGCGCTTGAACATGGCGAATCCAAAAATGGTCGACATGGCCAGAATTCCAGTCAAACGCAAGGTGCCATCGCCCAACCGGGTGATATTGGTCTGGAAGAAGTAACCAATTATGGAGTCGCCTTCCACCAGAGAGATACCGAAACACATCACAAAAAACAGATAGTGCACAATGCCGGCGATGAAGGAGTACATCGAGGTTTGAACTTCTTTTCGGGGATTAAGATTCAAGCGAAACGGAGCCAGACCCAATAGCGAAATATAGGTCAAAGGTCGCAGGGCTTGAAAGACATTATCCGCTTGGGAAATGCGTTCCCACAGCTTAAAGGCCATTATAAAAATTCGATGGTGTTTTTCTTTAGCTACAACGTCCGAACGATTCGCGTATTTTCTGCCAACTGACAGCGGAAGTCCTCGGCCACCGATGATGATGATGATTCTTTGGTGTCAACGCAGGACTTGACCGACCCTATCATATATCAAAATCGTTAAAGGGCTGTCGCACACCTTCGTGGAAGGCTGGCCATAAGCTAATATCAATAGATGCAAATATTTAATTAAGCTTAAATGAGTTATTATGACAAGGTTGTTACAAGCAGGGACTTCGTGCCGGCCTTTCATTACAATTGGCAAACAATTTATGGCAGGCATTTAGTGACCACGCAAAAAATGGCCTAAACCTAGGCAATTGCGCAGAAAGTGTTTTCTAATAATTAAAAGAAAAGGTAAAGGGTTAAAGTGTTAATTGGATTAATTGAACTTTTTAATGGCCATCATTGTTTATTACACAAAAATACATACATAATATTTGCAAGACAACAATAATAACATTTACAAAAAATTACACATTCTGCTGGACGTATTTCTCTATATCATTTCACCCTTTCCATTCCACTGCCAACCTTACAGCTACGGTTTACATCTAAGCCATTAAAAAACATCTAAAGCGTGTGATTCGTAATATTATTGTAGTTTTCACAGCAGGGATATCCATTCCCATAGCCGTTGTTCGGGGAATTCGAGGTGAATTGTAACAAAATGATGAGATAAGTGGTCAAGGCTCCACTAATCTGTTGTGAAAAATATACATTAATAGTAGAACGTTTTAAATAAGAGACTAACTCACCGTAAAGTACAAAGTACGATCAATGTTGAACAATCCAGCGGCTGTGAAGTTTATTTTCAAGTGCATTAACTGCATGGAGAACTGTTGCAACTTTTCCTTGACCTCGGCACTTTTGGTCTTGTTCATGAGTGAGTGTACAATTCCGCCGGTTTTTTCACTCTTCTTGATAGCTCGATTACTGCCCTCCACAATGGAAATAATGGCAATCAAATACAAAATCATTTGACACGAAAAGAATGTGACAAACTCAACGGTTTTGAATTTACTTTCGCGCTTCGACTTGCCGAGGAGGGTTTCCAAAACATAATAGGCATCAAAGACAATGATGAGAAAGGCGATGGATATAATGGTCAAAAGTTGGTAGGTAAAATACTTGTTGGCCGTGGCAGCAGCCTCACAAATCAGATGGTGTATCTCCATAGATTCCTGAATGATTTCAGCCGGATCCTTGGTCACGATTGTATACATGGAGAAGGAATCCAGGCATTGCAGGGAACGCTGCTTTTGGTTGACTGCTTTTAGGCTGCGGCTGTCCCACTGATGGGCAAGGTTTTTAAGGACCTGGAAATAAAATTACAACTATTATTATTTTGAATATAATAACCTATAAATATATAAACCTTATTTAAAGCACAGAAATAAATGCGTATTTTGAGTATTAAATTTCCTGTCAGAAAGCAAACAGCACACACTATGATATGTGGAGAAAAATAACTAATCGCGGAGGATATGCCAAACTTGGCCGCATCTCGAAAGCTAATAAGCACAAAACTGCACCCAATATATAGTGCCATAGTGCCAGTTAAAAACAAAACCAAATGATTCATCTTCCTGGCTGCCGGATGCTGATGCAGTGCCACACCCACTCTAGGAAAGGCCCCTTTTTCCAATCTATCGAATATCGCAAGTAGTTTTGGGATATTTTTCCTTTTATTAAATGAAAATACGAGTATTGTAAAAACTCCAATCATTCCATTGATTTTTTGGAGTCCATCGATGACATTGGAAATTTCCGTCGGGAAAAAATTAGTTAGCAATGTTTCCTGATTGGAGAGACAGTAGAGGAAATTTCCAAAGTAAAGGCACATCCTGGCAATCATATTCATGTATCCAAAGTGGGAAGGCGTCAGCATGCCTTTGCCATCCGAAGAAGTAGTCACTTTATAGGGCACTATTCCCAGCAAGAGGGCCAGGATAATAGTAACACGGTAGCAGGAATAAACATCGTAAGGACGCGACATTTGAACAATTCGCTTCAAGAACCACATGGCGTATGAGTAATGCAGGACTTGGCCAAGCCAACGCTCGATAGGCATCTTCCAACGTTAATAAATTGAATAATTTTTTAGTATAATCTTAAGGACATTAATCAACTGGAAAGCCAAAGTCGGGTTATAAAAGTCTATTTTATAGTTTTCTGACAGTGAGAACAATTTTAATTAAAATATTTTTAAATAACAACCAACCTGGTTTAAGGCTTCAAAGTGCTGCCAAAAACGATGCAAGTTTGCTCCAAAAAGCATCACAATACTGAGTAAAAATATTTGTGGCACATAGAAGGATATGGCTGCCGTGTAAATGGGTCTGACATCATTTCGTAAAAGCATCCAAATGGAACTAATCAAATAACCCAATTGCATGGCTGTTATGAGAAATATTTTCGAATGCCGCAATCTCATAATCGCAGAGTAATTAAAACAAACTCCCACATCCAGGAGACGAGCATCGATTTTTGATATACGATCCCAGATGCGAATCAATAATTTAACTCGGATACTGCTGCAGAGAAAGAGCGTTGACATGCCCGTCATTCCGATGAACTTTTGCAAAGAGTCACCGACCTGGGAGATATCCGATTTGAAGAAATAACCGACAATACTTTGTTGTTCGACGAGAGCCGATAGGAAGCAGTAGCTGAAGAAACTCAGCTGAAGAAAGGCATTCAGATAGCCCAGTTTACTGAGCTCGAATTGGCGATTGCCGGCTTGTCCTTTCAGCCGGAAAGGGGTCAGTCCCAATAAGTAGGTGCACAAAAGTAGAGTCTGTTCGGCTCCAAAAGCATCACGCGGTCTAAACAATTCACGAATAAAATCATACACTTTTGGTAAACTTTTTCCATTGAAGGTGTTCATAATAAAAATTTCCGAAAAATAGATTCATTTCACTTCGTTTGGTTCCCTTTTATAGTTTTTCTTCTCTAACTATTTTCTGTGATTATTTTTTTAAAGAATTTATGAGACACACACCTTGAAAGTCATAGCTGGTTAAACGTTGCCTACTTTGCGGCGTTGACAGGTCAGGTAATGGAAACCGTCTATCATTTTCTGACAAAGTTTTTCACCTAATGACAGTTTCCGCGGTATCCTGGCGTTTATGAAATTATAAACAAGCGTCAGTCCTGGTTGGGAGTTGTTGTTTCACAGTTGCCCCCGTTGGGGTTCACGGTCAGTGTTTGTATTTGCTAATTACTCTAATTGAATTAACCGAACGGAATTCAAAAACACTTTAAGAATGCAGCTAAATGTGATGGGGAATTTATTTGATGAGTTAATTGTATAGCTATGGGAATAGTTAGTTTTATATGGAGGATATTGTTATTGTGGCAAGGATGTCTATCAAACAAGTAAGAGTTTATAGCTGTTTGTCTTGACACTGTATCTTTAAGAAAATAAAATTGAGGTTCCTTTTAATAATATGTTTTTTAAAAGGATCAAAAAGGATAAAATTTCAAAGCTTTGTGTCCTCTAAAAATGTTCTATAATTTTTCTTCTAACTTATTTATAAAATCCCTTACCTTATTGACCATAACGAGGCGCATTTCGACCAAATACGTAAAGCAGCTGAAAACACAAACGGCTATAACAATAACCGTGTGCTGGATGAGAAATGTAAAATGCAGGGCCAAGGTAGGAGTCACCGCCGATGAATACAAGACCGAAAAGGTGCCGAGAGTGAAGCACAAGTTCACCAGAAACATAAAGAACAAAATCATGTAACTATATCTTAAGACTTTGCTGTACATGATTTTAATGCCGACGGTCTGGAGTTGGACGTCCATGGTGTGGAATTTCTGGAGGCAACGCTCCAAGCGATGATTTGGAATAATGGCCGTCAGGTAGATTACAGTGACGCCGATAAATCCACTGACAATCTGCATCATATCCCCGAAATAGGTGATGCGCGATCGGAAGAAGTAGCTGGCCACCGACTCGCAATTATTAAAAATCGTCAGGCTGTAGCAGACCGCGTAGAAGGTAATGTGTAGAATGCCGTTTAGAAAACCAAAAACTGTTTTTTTGGGGGTTCTTATTCCGGTTTTGGAATCATAACTGATGTAAAAACAGGTTAGTCCGTGCACATAGGTGACGTGGAAAAGCGGACGGAGGCATTCGTAGAGTTGTTTGGCCGAAAAGAATCTCCAGAATTTGCGACGCAGCGGCTGGCATAGGCCGGAACCCACATCTATCTCGACCGTATGCTCGGGATCAGCCTGGCTCTTGGCCCTTTCGATATCCATGACCCGGTTTCTATTTTTGTTTTTATAATTTTTTCTATGTCCGCTCCGTTTGAGCTTCAACTGGCGACTGACGCCAGAGACCACAAATGATTTGCATTTTGCCAGAAACCATTACCTCCTTTTTTCCGAGGCGGGGTCGCAAAAGTAAATAATTTTCCCATTTTTATGTATACATCAGGTCTAGACATGACTGTCCGAGACCATTAACCTATTAGCTTAAGCTGTTGGGTTTAATTAATGTCCTGTTTCCTCGAGGGACATATTTCCCCAGGGTATTCTTATCCTAGCGTAGGATTTCCCCCTATTCAGGAAAGTCCTTTTTCGCGTTCCTATTTTGATCAATGAATGGCTGGAGACCTATTCGGGCACTTTTATTGAGGCCCACATAATCCTAATTAATTTTATGCCTTCCCTGAAACGCTTCAATGAATTTATGTCAATTGTCAACAGGATATTACAATTTTGTTGCTATCTTAGATGAGATTTGGTTAGTTAAGGACGAGTTATGACCATCGTAATGGACATTACTCATTCGTTTTATGAGGGTTATGAGGGGTCAAAGGAGTTCATCAGTTCATTTTGTTAAGGACGTGAAGGAGAACTATTTAGGAAGTAATAGAAAGCATTATTCTAGGAAATATTTATGTAATATTGTGGTAAAAATTAAATTGGCTTAAGAAAGAGTATTCACATTCAAGTATTTTATTACTGAAGCCCCAAAATAGGCAATAGTTTTGAAAATGTAATAATTCAATTACTCTTATTCCCTCAAACTTGTTGATTTAATCTCGAGCTTATTGTTTATCTTGAAACCTCTCATCAGATATCAAACTTAATTACTAAATATGTCAATGCGAATCATAACAAACGATCTGCCCCCAAAAATCCAAACATTAGGTTGCCATGGATTAACATAAATTAATTTTCACACTTGATTTGTGCTTGAGTAATAAAAACGCTGATAGTACCAGACAACCTGTCTGCAAGTGCTCTTCCCGGGTAAATATTTGCCCTGTACAGGTGGCACTTGCTGTAATGGCCCCTCACTCACTCACTCACCTGATTGATGATACTCAATCGTCGTTCGAAACTGAAGGCAATTACGCAGAACAAACAAATCGCTATGGAGACGACCGAATGTTGCAGGAAGAAAGTCATGCAAACGCAGAAGGATGGTGTTACGTCCAAGGACACCAGCAGGCGGAAAACTCCCACGAAATATACGCCAAGGATCAGCAGCTTAAAAACCAAAACCAGTATGGAGTAGCGAAAAATCCTTGAATATTTCACTCGAACGCCAATATTTGAGAAGTTCGTATCCAGACTGTGCAGGATAGTCAGAGTTCCAAGTAGCTTGCATCTCTTCAGGATGGCAGAGGTGTATATCACAGCGCCGGCTATTAATCCATTAAATATCTGGAGACGATCTCCAATCGAGGATATCTCAGTGCGAAAAAAGTATCCGACTATCGACTCCCCTTGCCGCAAGGATGAGATGTAGCAGAATCCACACAGGCAGATGTAGATGAAAATGTTGAAGACGCCGAAACAGGACATCTTCAGATAGGACTCGCCCATTTTCTTTCTGACCACATGGAAGGGCGTCAAACCGTACAAAAATGTTAAGAAAAACAAAGGACGCAGTGCCTCGTAGACCTGCGAGGATATAAAGTACTTTCGCACACGACGAAGCGCCGACATGGTCGCGTAATCGAGTAATGTACCGGAAACGGAAATGAAAACAGAGCCAAGCGGAGCAGAGCGATTGGCACAACCGTTCGGGTAGAAGTGTCAACGCGAACTGCTTTGCCTGGCAGAAGGACAATAACGAATAGCCAAGGGATGCAAACGAAGCGGATAAAGGGTGGCATGTACAAAGGGGGAGCAGAGTGGGGAGCATACGAAAAAAATGAAAATGCCGGCATGAAAGTTATGTCCTGGCAAAACCCGATTATCATGTTGTCTAGGATTTGCAACAACAAGTGGCAAGCGTTGGCAACAAGTGGTCGTGTTTTCTCACTCCATCAGGACGATAGAGATGCTTAAATGAACGACTTTAATGATTTAATTTAAAGGTAATAAAAAATAACAAATTTATGTAAATATAAAGGTTAAAACATGGAGATTTAAATTTTTAAAAGGCATTTATGTTTTTAAAATAGAGCCCCTCATCACTGAATTCTATAGCCTTGAATTTAATTCAGTTGTTAGAGTATATTGTCGTGTGTGAGGTTGAGTATCTGTGCATATATCGGCTTCGTGACGGGCAATTCATTATTGTCATTATCAAGAGACACTCAAGTAATCGTATATCTGGTCACACTCAACTAATGGAGGACACAAGCGAACGGATGCAGAGGTTTCCCAGGACACGACAGGGGTGGAAAGTGAAAGGAGTTGAAGAAGCGTTCCTGGCCATTTGCTTTCTCATGAGCTGATCCGATTTCTCCCTAGAACTTGGTTTTCTTGCGTGCTGGGATTGGGGGATTTCTCTGATTGACAGGCGATGGATGATGATTGAAAAATATGCGGACTTTAAGGAAATTCGTATGACTTGATTTTCATTAGTATTCATATAAAAAACATGACCCAGTCTAGAGTCTAGACACTATGTAATGTTATTTGATACTTTAGTCACCTACCTTGTGCAAACAGGTCATACGTCTTTGTACAGTCCGCGTCATCAGACAAAACATGCAGATAGTCACCGAAATGACTAGTAGTTCGTAGACAAGGATAAAGTTCAGTTGCCACGAGGCATTCACGTCCATTTTCGAGAGGCAAACGAGCCAAGTGGTGATGATTATTGAATCGTATGCAACTACCAATGTAATTACCAAGATGAGCTGTCCCTTTACGGTGTTGAAGTTCACGGGAGATCTTAGACTTTCGAGTTTCTTATCCACTTGCACCATAGTATCCACCGACTTGCGAAGATCTTTGCGTTGCAGGAGTGGCATTATAAAGGTGAAAACGGCGGCTATAATCCCACCGATATCGTGAGCTCTGGTGCTGACTTGGGAAATATGGTTGATCATAAAGTATCCAATTAGGCTCTCGTCATGAAAATTAACGTGGGTGTAACAGTAGGCGAGTAGAAGCCACCGGGAAATGGCATTCACGAATCCGTAGCCCGACTGCTCCATGGAAAGTACACCCTCTGAATTTTTTCTGACCAAAAACGGAGTAATGCCCAAGGCGAAGGCTATGGTCACCATTAATTGTATGGAATCATAGACATCCCGGGCACTCATCCAGTAGCTAAGCTTGTACCGGAAACCGCGAATCGTATCCATACCGTAGTGGTTCATTGTCACTCCACGAATAAATATTTCGATTTTCCGAGGCCTGTTTTCCATTAATTTATGATGTCACTGAAGTGTGCCCCTCGTTATCGCAGATTAAACTCAAGAGATAGCACAATTTGTGTTGTTGCTGGGTAGGCCACCATGACAACAGCTTTAATTTGCATTTTATTGGGAGAATGATGGACTTACTAATCACTAATCGAGTGGTGTAATCTGCATTCAGATTCAGTAATTCAGTAATTAGGACTTGAAGGGCTAGTCATATTTTTGATATTTGTTAGAAGTAATAAACCTTTTTATATCTTTTATTTAAAGACTCTTTAACCAATAATACATATTTACTGAAAGACAACTGAAACCCTAAATATTTATTTTTGAAAGCAGTGGCAGCTGCTTAACAAAAAATCCACATTACCAAATCCATGCAAAAACCCAAACAAGACGAGAGCTGGCTGTCAGTCGCATCTGCTGCCAACAAACTGAACTGAACAATGCAAACGAGATTGCGTAATGGATCCCCCCGGCTTAATGAGCTGCTGCATCGTGGCTCAGTGCAACACATCATCGTCATGCGGCTGGCTGGCTTAGAATTTTGTCGCACAATTTGGCTAACAACACATCTCAGCTTGGCAAACTGGCTGGCACATGGAAATAACAATAACAGAGTGCAACCGCAATGGAAAATGGAAAAAGGGTTTCTAAGAGTTCACTTTTCCATTGACAATGGCGCCAAAGCATTTTCATCCTCAACTTTTTTGTTTTGTCTATTTTTCACACGTGCAACGCAATGCCACTTCTTGGATTGCCATAAGAAATGGAAAATTTGCAAGTAAAATCCATAAATTTGTGGGCGAGGAAAGAATTTGGAAAAGGTTTTAAGTAAATTAGTATCTTTTTTTAAAGAGATAATAAGCTATAAATATATTCTTTCAATAATAAACATCAAAGCTTTTAAGAAGTAATGGTATTTGTTTAGCTAAACTAAAACCAACATTGTATGAATTTACCTAAATAAACATTTTGCAAAACATAACATAATAAATCAAACAAAGAAAACATTTTTATCCTTGACCAAAACTGAAATGTACTGAACAATTATGTGAACAATTTAAGATTTCAAACGATTTGATGCGAAATTATTTCACGGCCAAACAAATTCAATGAGGGCTTTTCAATTGACCAAAAAATTAAAAAAAAAAAATTAAATAAATCAAAGTTAAATAAATACATAAATAAGATAAAATATGATCGGTGGTGGTGGTTGGTGGAAAATGCTTTGGAGAATCGGTAGTTGACCAAAGACCAAAGAGCAGCCTCCAAACAAGACCTCTGACATTTGGGAGACAAAAAAAAGTGTGGCGAAATAGTTTTTGGCAAAGCGATGGGTTACAGAACCCAAGGTGTCGTCGCCACGTGATGCGGTAAACATACAAAGTCAGTCACTGGGTTATGGCAACCTCAGATATTTTCAAACAAAAATTTGTGTGTTTGTAAAAAAAACATGGAAACTCCGAGAAGCGAGAAAAAAAAGAAGTTAATTAGCATCAGAGCCTCAACCCAAAGTTAATTATGTTATGTTATTGTAATTTATCTCGGTTTACGCTTTATGCCCGCACTTCCAACCAATTTTTCAGTCAATAAGTCTTTGCACCTGTCCCTGAATAAAAAATCCATCAAACCTTAATATCTTCATTCAAACAAAAGCCAGAGATGCACTGTTTAAAATTGGATTAAAAATGACTCAAAGTCGAGTTTAATCACTGCAACATATAATAAATTGCTAAGCCTTATTAAAATTTTATAACTCAATTACCTTTTAACCACTATTTAATTTTACTTTCAATGTTTAACGATTAAACCAATTTTAAACCACATGTTTGCTTTAGGCCTTTTGGCGAACACTGTAACCTTAAGTAATTTTGTTAGCTCTTTGCAATCAACTCTATAAAGTGTCTTTACGTCTATCTAATGATGACTTTCCTTTGGCAATAGCTACGCAATGCGAAAGTTATATAATATGAACCAAAAAAAAAAACGATTGCTGCTCAAACAATGAGCCCAATTGTAATTAAAAAGTTGTCCGCTTAATGGGTAGAGGAGGGTTTTTTTGTCGAAGAAGGGGGCAGAGCGATGTCAAATGATAGATTAAGCGACCCAATTATGAGTATGTGGCTTTCAGGCCGCGTGGGATTTTGGTAGGCAGTTGTTGCCAATTTCGTGAAATATTTTGGCGAAGGAAAGTGAAATTGCAGGCAATGGAAAACTACAATCCCACATCAATTGTGCCAGCGAGGGTCATAAATTATCTAAAAAAAACTTAGCTAGATTTTTTTGTATGCTCTCCATATCCATGACGCCTAAGGTCTCTCGTACTTAACTTCATGGTAAGCGGAGTTTTAATTTTTATTGTTGGTGCGCCGGTGAGACCCATTTTTAATTGTCTGCTCGCCTCTGGGTAACCCATTTGGAGTGGAGTGCAGATCTAATTGCAGCCACAGCCATGGATATGCTTTTTGAATTGCCGGCCAGTCCATACATTTTGTTTTTATTTTTGTTTGGCGGCCTTTTCAGCAAGTCAGCATTCTTCAAGTTCAAGTTCGGGGCTCTATCATTATGGCGATCAAAGTTTGGCGCTGTTCACACTTAATGATTTCACACATCTGCTGCTGCTTCGACTGATTTTGAGTTTCGGATATTCGGATGCATAAATCACTTAAGTAAATGCGTTCAAAGTCACAAACAAAGGTAAGAATGTAAGCCTATCATGGAGTCATAAAACAATGAATACCCTATTTCTTCTAATAAATATGTAATAATTTGAAGAGGGTTACAGAAGAATGCAAAATCCGACTGGTAACATTTTTATAAGATTTAATTTTTTCTTAGCTTCAATTAATTGGCCTAGACCATCTCTCCATAATAGGGTATGATGCTATAATAGTGTGCTTAAAGATGCACACTTGGTCTCGGCAAATTTGAAGTGATTTCGAATCGATTTGAAGTTGTTGGCTGCCACTCCACCTCATGAGGAAAATGCAATTAAATTTAATTTACTGAACGACCTCACCGGGTGATCGGGTGCTGCTGCCATATTTTCATGTTTTATGCTCGAAATGCAATTTGAAGATGAGCTCGAGATGCGTGAGAGGACACTTGGAGCAGATCAGAAGCCGATTCGCCTTGTAGGGGTGAACTTGAGCAGTTGCAGCATTGGAGGTGCATAGCTATGGCATCGACACCGCCAGCCGATAACAACCATAACGTTATTAAGCAATATTGGTCCGAGCACAATGAATATTAATGAATTTTTATACTGTGCTCTCATTAGGTAAATTCAGTGAAGCACATAAATCAACTTGAATAGGCTCGCTAGGTAGAAAAATAAAATGATTAATTTTCAGCAATTTAGGCATCCAACTTGTATTTATTTTTCAATTTAATTATTCATTTCTGTCCCTTTTTGGTTGCTTCTTCAACACCTTTTGGCTAATGATGAGCAAATTGTGCCGGAAGCAATTTCGACTCTATTGATTTTATTGACACCGTTTTGCTTTGTATCGGCCTCTCCAAAATAAATAAAAAAGAAAATAAAATGTTCAATTATTACATAAATGTAACAATAAAAAAAAAAAAGATGGTATTCCATAGAAAAATAATCAACATGTGGGGTATAATCATTTTTAGCCCAAGGGCTCACTCAATTCGAAACAATTAAAATAAAATCAAATATAAATGCATAATCATTTGTTTAAACAAAGCGTGTAACGGTCATCGATGAGTTTTGTCTTTTCACACTTATTTGCCTTGTTTGGTTTTTGCCTAGTTTTGTAGTTGTTGCTTTGCTTTTTCAGTTGCCTGCAAAAAATCAAAAGATTCAAGCAACGAACTTGCGATGCCCACATGTTCGATGCTGCACTTTGAAGTTCGAACATCAAACCTGTAGCATACTGACACATTTATGGCAGCACAGAAGCTGCAACCGCCGCTTTACGGCCCCTAACTTAATTACCAATCGAATGCATTCCAAACTCATCTCCGGCAAAAACAAAATGAATAGAAATAAATGAAAAAAAAGGCGAACACACCTCCCGCTGTTTGTTTTGGCCCCCATCCTACTCGTTCAAGCCAAGTCTTAAGCCCGGTTTGAGCCACGTTCGAAGCGCGATCGAACTGCCGCCCGTTTCTGTGCTCGTTTTATTTTTGTTTTGGTTTTTGGGGACAGGCTATAAACCGTGGCAAGATCGTCATTGCGTTCAGTTGGTAAAAGTGAAGCGTTTCGTGCGGTTGTCCCAACTTCTACTATATATCTGCTATATAATCAGCATCAGTTGGATTTCTGTGCTGCCATCAAGTTTTGGAAATTCCGCTTGTGTTTTTTCGTTTTGCAAGGTGATTATTTAATAATGTCAATAATCCTTTAAGGACTTCAGTGAATAAAAAAAGTGATCGAGCCACTATACCTAATAAGTTGTTTTATAGTTTGCATGCTTAGGATTGCAATAAGTGTAGTATTTTCAAAAGTTCAAAATTCATTTGTTGTTTGTAATCATGGCAAAGAACTATCTAGATTTTAACAAAGTATTTACTTAACCCTTAGAACATTTAGTCGACTAACAATGATAAATCATACTAAGCCACAATTCTTTTCGACAACCCACCTGCAATTAATTCTGTCACAACAAATTTCTGTCAGTTTGAAGAACATGGTAAATAGTGTGAAAAACTTGGTTAGTTAACTCAACAATGATGAAGTAGCTTTTTGTTCTTTATTTAGTTTTCTCGATTCTTTTTGTTTTTGACTTTATTACTATGCATGGCCTCATTTGGGCCAGCATTTCCTCCTCCCACTTGGGCCGACGTGCATTGAAACAGAAGATTACGCAATATGGTGGCAGTGCAAATGAGTGGAAAATCTAATTTTCCAGAGCCATGCAAATATTCGGGGCAGTAATTGCCAAAATGTCAGGCTGCGTCAGCTGAAAGCTACTGTTGCTACTGCACAAAATGTCGTTTGAAGTTGTAAAGCTGGCGCTCAATAATATTTTATGAGTGGCAATAACCAGACTTGATAACAGACATTTTGCTATTTACAACTGCAACTGAAGATGTCTCTAAAATGAGTGGGTTTTTTGCAAATCTTACACTTAACGATTCGGTTCAACAGGTCAATGTTTAGACACTTTTCAATGCCATTTTCCACTGCAATTGTGGAGGATGTGAAAATAACATACCATAGTAGAAAACACCAGTCACGATTCCGTCTCCAAGTGACAACAAAATAATTTATCTCCGAGGAATGCGGGAAAGTCTTGGCCAAAAAAAAGAGTCAGGGCTCTTCCTGTCACTCTTTTGGATGAATTCTTCTTAAAGGAAAGTTTTTCTTTGTACGACAGTAGTTGTATTTTAGATAGTAGTATTTTGGCTTTAGAAGTTGAGTGACAATTTTGAGGAGCATCTTTGAAATTTATCATATGCTTTTTCCTCAGATAATAAAATATTTTTTAGCTTGTTTCCGAAAAAGACTTTCCAAGTATTCTCTTTCAATTCTAACTAAATATCAACTACCATTTCGCTTTCAAGTTTCCCATGTACTTAGGCCAAGTTTTGTTTGTTTTACTCACTATTCCCATAGTTTGGGCAATTCATTAGCGTCTGCTCTGAAGATGAAAGTGAAGATGCCTGGACAACTGAGAAGATTCCATTTGAACCTCTCACCCAGCCCCATCGCCCCCTTTCTTTCCATGAACCTGACATGCTGTCAATATTTATTGATATGGCCTGTTCATATAAATACATTTTTATGTCATGACCAAAAACCGAACGAAGAAACATGACCATTTTCACTATCATTTCGCTGCACGTTGATGGTCATTGTTATTGTTATTTTTTTTCGCTGGCATTTTTGAGTTTTTGCTCATCTGAGAAAACCAGTCAGTTGCAAGTTGCAGGTTGCAGGTTGCTGGTTAACCAGTAAAAGTAAGCTCCTTCTGTCTGGTCTGAAACTGGCCAGCAGTTGACAGACTTTCTTCTACCGTCTGTCCAGTTTTTCTGCATATTGTTTACTGTTGTCCAGTGGCTTCTTCTCTGTTCGGGCCAAGACCAGATCTGGCCAAGACCAGACCCAGGCCAGGCAATTAAAATGTCTCGATTGCTTCGGTTTCGCAGATGCATCCGCCTGCAACTTTCTTAACGTCATTGTCCACATCCTGATCCCTTTTGTGCCTCATTTGCTTAAAAAGGGGTCAACAACAACACCAGAAAATCAAAATTCTAATTAGACCCCAGATACCAGAGATAGGATGGTGCTGTTGCAACAACAAGTTGTTTCTCGTGTTGCACCTGCAGCGTCTTGGCAAATCCGTCTTCTTAATAATTACTGTCATCACATTGCCAAGAGGTGGGGCTTTAAAAACAGAAACTCGTCTTTCGTCTTCAGCCACGTTCTACAAACAAGCTGCAAGTGCAAGTTTCTCGATGTTTTCTCTAGAGAAATGTCTGCTTATCGATTGATTTCTAATTAACAGGAAATGGCCAAGGTAGATCTAGGTAATTAAAGGTAAATTGATGAGGTTTCTAACGGGGATAGCATAGGGATAAGGAACTCAGTTTTTTAGAAAATTAAATGGAAAGACAAAGATGACCCTTGAAAAATAATAGACAAATGGATTGATCATAACCGTTGCAATAAAAATACCTCTATATTGGTTATAATAAATATTTAAATATTTTAAAAGCTTTTTTTTTTACAAGATTTAAACACCTGTTGCACTCTCAGCAGATATTCACAATTTTTCAGAAAATTACTCTGCTGGCAGCGCGTGATACATAAATAAAATTTGTTTGCCATCTATGAAAAAGATTATAGAAAAAAACCAGTTACCACCAAAATGTAATGTATAAGCCAGAGATTAATTGCCGTGTCTTTGGGGGGGTGGTGGTGGGTGAATCAAATGGCTAAAAAAGACTAAAATGTTTGGCAGATGCAGCCTCATGACTATGTCTGCCAGCACAAGTGGCTTGGAATTAATTATCCAACACATACTCTGACTCCGACTCCGGCTTGGATTCGAATGCGGATTCGGATTCGGAATGATGCACAGATGTTTAGCACGATAGTGCTTGGAACAACATCTTTCGAAGATTTCAACTCATTTTTTTATTGTAGTTATTTTGTAATATTTATTTGGCTATTGAGCACGTTTTGAAGGTTGCTTTTTGCACGCCGAGCAGGTGAATTATATAAAAGAAATCGCCGCCTCAAGAGCCTAAAATCATCATTAGTCATTAAGTCGAAGTAAAAAAAATCAAAATTAAATGCCTTTCTCCCACAATTTGTATTTACAAGTGCGTCCATTGAAACGTTCAATAAAGCAAATATTGCATAATAAAAGAAAACAAGACCCAAAAAATCAAACAAAGAAACAAAAATGAGACGAAATGAGAGCTACTTGTGGGCAAGTGCCCGAAAAAAAAAGGTGAAGACAATTGGTTCGGAAATATTTCAGCAGTTGCCAATGCCCTTACCCACGGCAATTAGCCGAAGATACACACAAGACAGGCTCAGAAAGAAAAAAAACACGTTCATATTATATATGTATTACCATCAACTCATATAGGAAGAGCAAATGAGGCAACGGAAATTCAAATAACAAAATTTACAAGCCATGAAAAAGGGAGAAAATACATGCAATTGAACGTGGACACAAAGCCAAAGTCAAAGCAATATTTTATACTTTTTTGACCGTGTTATCAGGCGGAAGAGTTTCGTTTCGAATATTGGCCAAAAAGACTCTGGCAATATGTGTAATGCATGACCATGGCCGGGCAACTTTCTCCATTAACTGCGAGTATTTTCCGTTTTGGTATGCACAAGACAAACTTTGGTCTTCGGTTGAGCTAGAAAAGCCTGCGTACTGGAATTTATCACACATATACGTATATACATATATTCACGAATTCCAGATATTTTTTTGCTTGGGAGTGGGAGTTTCTTGATTTTTGTTGGGTAGGTCAGGGTCTGTGGGTTAGGTCAGTTACGGTTTGGTAATTTTTTAGAAGGTAAGAGAGGCCAATATCCAGTGGGTTTATTATAAAGTAACAATCAGCACGCGTTTTAGCCATTTCCCACCAAATAGAACCCCAGCTTAGATCAGCTCATTTAAATCCGGATCCAATTGCTGGCAAATAATTTATATAAGATGTAATTTTGATTAGTTGCCAAGTGGCTCATAAATAGAACCAGTCGCGCATCACAAGACCACTACAAAAATTTGCATACAATTTTCATGTGGTATTGGTTTTTTTTTTTTAGCTTTTTTTATGTACCCTCTAATATAAAACAATGAAGCCATTTGCATAGGAAGCCAAATGAGTAAAGTGAACACCCAGTATGTGGGACCATATAAGAATGGCTTGCGGCTGAGACGGGAACAATTCTCACGTTACGAAATAGAAACCAGGTTGAAGGCCTCTCTCTACCAAATGGAAAACTACTTAATTAGACGAAATGGAATCAAATTGTGCAAAATGACAATTGAAAGCGACAAATTCCATAGGCAAATCACAGTCAAAATTGATCAAATTCGATGCAAAGCATTTCCAATCACTGATTTTGCATAAAACCGAGTGCGACTCATCCAAGCGGAAATGGAATGGGTGGGGCTAAATTTCGGATTCTGAATCAGAATCATTGCCTGGTCGGACTAACATTTCCAAACAGTTTCAGGTCGAGCTTGGGTCACTCTGGTTAAGCTAAAAAGCAGAATTAGTTGGTTAGTTTAATTAGAGGTTTAAGATCTTATAAGGTTATAGGCGAAATAAATATGTAAGTATATTTCTGAGCAATTTTTTAAAAGGTCTTTTGAATAGGTTCCAAAGGATCCTAAAGGATTTTTCTAACAGAACATTCTATTCATCCTAAACCTTAACTTTATTTCAGAAATCCAAACATGTCCGTGCTGCGAGCACTTCTGCTGCTGGCACTGAGCGCCACAATGGCTCTGGCCCAGCGTCGCCTGGCCCTGCCCGATCCGAGGAGCTGCGCCAACCGGGTGCGCCATGCCACCTACCGCGATGCCAGGGGTGTATCCCACTCGTACTTCTTCAGTTGGGAGCATGCACCTACCCGCAGTCTGGAGGTCGACTGGCTGGACGCGAGGAACATCTGCCGCCGGCACTGCATGGACGCCGTCTCCCTGGAGACGCCACAGGAGAATGACTTCGTTAAGCAGCGTATTTCTCGCGGCAATGTGAGGTATATCTGGACCTCGGGCAGGAAATGCAACTTTGCCGGTTGCGACAGGCCCGATCTGCAGCCACCCAATGAGAACGGCTGGTTCTGGTCGGGATCCGGAGCCAAGATTGGACCCACCTCGCAGCGTAATACTGGTGACTGGTCGCACACGGGCGGATACAACCAGCCCCAGCCGGACAACCGAGAGGCGGCCCAGGGCAATGACGAGAGCTGCCTGTCCATCCTGAACAACTTCTACAACGATGGCATCAAGTGGCACGATGTGGCATGCCACCACATCAAGCCATTCGTGTGCGAGGACTCCGATGAGCTGCTGAACTTTGTCCGCTCCCGGAATCCCAATGCCCGCTTGTAATTCTAATTTAGCTTAAGCCTGAAGAGATGATTAAAATTTACATATTTATGTAGCCTTAAACGGAACATTGATTGGTTGATTGATTGATTTAATTGCCTCATTGACTGTTCAATCCCAATATTGATGCCTTCCAAAACGCGCCTAACATTTGTTTGTTCGGTTTCTAAAGATAAACAAAATTTAAATAATAATAACCTTTCCGCGCAAAGATAAACAAAATTGTTAAATAATTTTAAAAATTGTTAATAAATACAAATTGAACCCACATAACAAAAAAAGGGTCAGAAGCTTTTTGAAAGAAGCTTCTTCTTTCACCCAAAACAGTGAATCCCTTGAAAATGGGGTTTTCCCCTATAGGGCCCAGAGGGATGGCTATATCTTCCCCAATTCTCATCCGATTCTCAAGCGGAGTACCTTAAACGATTTCTGGATTGATTCGCTACCATTCTGCATCAAAATCCTGAGACAAAATATTTTTTAGATTTTTTGTCCATTTTTCGTGATGGATCCCTTGAAAATGGGGTTTTCCCCTATAGGGCCCACAGGGATGGCTATATCTTCCCCAATTCTCATCCGATTCTCAAGCAAAGTACCTTAAACGATTGCTGGATCGATTCGCTACCATTCTGCATCAAAGTCCCAAGACAAAATATTTGTTATATTTTTTGTCCATTTTTCGTGATGGATCCCTTGAAAATGGAGTTTTCTCCTATAGAGCCCTTAGTGATGGCTATATCTTCCCCAATTCTCATCCGATTCTCAAGCGGAGTACCTTTAACGATTTCTGGATTGATTCGCTACCATTCTGCATCAAAATCCTGAGACAAAATATTTTTTAGATTTTTTGTCCATTTTTCGTGATGGATCCCTTGAAAATGGGGTTTTCCCCTATAGGGCCCACAGGGATGGCTATATCTTCCCCAATTCTCATCCGATTCTCAAGCAAAGTACCTTAAACGATTGCTGGATCGATTCGCTACCATTCTGCATCAAAGTCCCAAGACAAAATATTTGTTATATTTTTTGTCCATTTTTCGTGATGGATCCCTTGAAAATGGAGTTTTCTCCTATAGAGCCCTTAGTGATGGCTATATCTTCCCCAATTCTCATCCGATTCTCAAGCGGAGTACCTTTAACGATTTCTGGATTGATTCGCTACCATTCTGCATCAAAATCCTGAGACAAAATATTTTTTTGATTTTTTGTCCATTTTTCGTGATGGATCCCTTGAAAATGGGGTTTTCCCCTATAGGGCCCACAGTAGTGGCTATATCTTTACCAATTCTCATACGATTCTGAAGCGGAGTACCTTGGGTAATCCAAAATATTTTTTAGATTTCTTGTTCAATTTTTGTAAGGGCAAGGCCGACCAAAAGTGGGTAAGTTATGGATAAGAAGGGTATAGAAAAGGGCTCATTTTGCAAGAAGTAGAAGTATCTGCAGGACGTCCAACAAATCTGCATAATAAAACACTTTTTCATTTAACATTTAATGCGTATATATTTATTTAGCTCATTATACGATTTCACTAGAAAATGCACGTATGTAAATATATATTTAAATATATGTATGTATATGTATTATATAGTTATTTCCATTATCCGAATACTTTGGTAAGTTCTGTTGCTTGTTGGAACTTATTTCGCTAGTTTGTTAATATTACAATAGGAATAATTAAATTATCAAACAATTCATTAGCCATTTGGAGCCATTACGGAGAAGACACAAAGTTAGCAGATTTGATCTAATAAAGTAACTGGTTCAGGTTGCACTCTATAGCCTACTGACATGAAATCAAATCGAGGTTTCACAATATTATTCTGGTAGTCTGGCAAATGATAGTCAAATATGGTTATAAACTAATTACAAAACTATCGCGGGCATGCTGCCACAAATGTGTACCATATATTACTGAAATCAAGTATTCCAACATAAAAATCTAACAACAATTAATGGGGAATTGATGAACTTAGGTCTCTAAGCTTAGTCAATGAAATTAACAATTGATTTCGATTTCGGAACTGGAACTGGTCATTTAGCACAGAGTGTGTATAGTTCGGTTATCGGTTATGGATGGTGTGGTGTCGAGGAGTTCTGTGTGTTTATGTGGGAGCTGAAGTTATGGTGGTGGTGGGAGTGGTTGCTGGCATTTTGATCAACAAAATACGGTCCTAAAAAGGGAGAAGTACACATCCGTTAATAAAAAATGGTTGAGAATATGGAAGGGTTAACAGATGGTTAATAGTTTTTCCAATCAGCTTTCTGTTAGGTCTTGGATTTTGGATTTGGGATTACACATAGCCACCAATGTTATTTGCTTTTGTTTATTATTCTCATTTTTTTTCAAGGAGTTAGTCACATGCAGATTTTTTGGTTAAGCCGAGACGCAAACCATCATGCCCAAAATCGCGCTTTACCTGCCGCAAGATATTTTCAAATTCAATTTCAACGACAACATCAAAACAAGGAACACCAAACAAGTCTATGTAGGTTATGCATTACGATCTCTACGCCTACGCTGCTGTTTGTGTTATTCGAATATTTTCAATTCAATTCGTTATAAATTTTGTTTTCTTGTTAGCTTAGCTGTGCGTGTGGGTGACTGAGTTCTGAATTTTTGTTTCAGATTTCAAGGTTTTGGTTTTTTTTTGTGTGTTTGAACTTAAGCTGTACTTGAGTTATGGGAGGCGCCACTGATTGCATTGAACAAAGCCATGCTGTTGCGCTGGTTTATGCTGTCGGCATCATCGCCAAGCGGCTGGAAGGACTCGTCCTCGAGCAACTCACTGAGAGCCTGGCACAGCTTCTCGTAGTTCTCCTTGAGGACGTGGTGATATTCCTTTTGGTCCGCGCTGATGATCCGCTCGTTCAGAAACAGTGCCTTCTGACAGACCACTATGAAGTCACTGTAAGGATATAGAAAAATTAATACATTTTCTTTAAACAGAAGAATATCAATATATCTACCGGAACACATCCTTTAAATCACCCACGCGATCAATGGAAAAATTATTGACCACCTTGGCATCCAGAAAGGCATGGGCGTAGGCCAAAGGTCCTGCATTTACGGTCACAGCCACACTTCCTTGCAGACGGAGCTGCAACTTCTTCACATCGGCTGGCGGCAGAATGATCTCCTCCAGCTCTGAAACCTTGGATTGCATCTCATCGATGGCCACTTCGATGGGACTCAGTTCGATGATTTCACGGGATTTCACGGGTATGCGTTTGAGAACATAAGGGAACGAATATTGAGCTAAAAAAGGATTGGTTTTAAATTTATTAAATTTTTCAAAAAAATTATTTTGTTTTTAATAAAAAAAAACTCACTCTTGATGACTGTTTTACGTTTCCATTGCTCTTCCACAGTGCCACGGGCTGCTCCCGATTTGGTGAACGGTGTCTCATACATAAACGTGTCCACATCATGGTTTTGTTCGAATTCATTGAGTCGCTGATCGAGTTCGTCCTTGGAGAAGAAAGGAATGACATGGGTGACCTGAATGTAGGCCAATTTAGCATCCAGTTCATCCACTTTGACCTGGAAATTAGACAAAAATATAAGGAAATTATACAAGAATGTCTTTTAAATCAATTTCAGTTTTAATTTTTAAGTTTCGATAAAAAAGCACAAAAATAGGCTGAGATATAAACATTGAAATCAAGTATTCATACGAGAACATTTCATACTGGGACTTGTTGCCAGTTTCCAGAGTTTCGTCCACTTCCGACCCTCATCCGATTTAGTTCTTAACAATTTAAGAACTTTACTATATTCTAGTAAATTATTTGTTATTTTTTTACAAGAACCCTGACCCCCACCTCTTCGTTGACTAGAGCCGCAATAGTTTCCAAATTTTGTAATCGTTCGCGTTCACCCACTTGGCTCTCAAAGCCGCCGGAACCACCGTCAACTGTAACCAGCGCCTCCGCCAAGGATCTCAGAAGTTGTTCCAGTCGATCTCCTCAAAGGACAGGGCAGCATGGAGCAGCTGTTTGATTTCCAGGGACACCGAATGTCCCTGGGACTGCTCCAGAGCTCAGGACATATTATACTCAGTCCCAATCCCAGTCCGAGTCCCAGCCCAAATCCCAGTTCGTGTTCCGGGGAGTACTCCCTTAATCCGAATGCTGTGGAGTTTGTGCCGTCATACCGAATGACTGCCCACTACCCGGTGGGACCGGAGATAGTACCAACGGAGACCAAGACGGAGGCCACATCGACCACCACACTGGTGCATCCTGTGGAGATTGTCGGAGATACAGTTGATCAAGTGGAGAACGGGTTCTATGTCCAGCGTCAGATCTTTGAGATTCTGAGCCAGCTGGGAGACGAACAGATGCCGCTGGAGAAGGTTGCGGTGGGTCTGCTGCCCGGTGGCCAGGGCCTGAGCATGAGATTCACCCCCAAGCAGGGTCAAGCAACTTTGGTGTCGTCTTTGGAGCCGAACGATGCTATGTTTCGCGAGAGTCACAGCCTTCATCTGGATGTGGGGGATCATCAGGGGGAAAACAGTCTGGCCAACCGACCGGAGAGCGTGCTGGTGGCCCAGTTCCTTATCCGGGTCAATGATTTACTGAACGAGAAGTACGAGTATGGCGGCGACAACTCCGTCTGCCCCAAGTGCGCTCTATGCTCCAATCGCAGCTACACGGAGCTGGAAATCGAGCAACAGATCGAGGGCATCAAAGCCTTCGAGAGCTTCTTCAATTTTACGGAAACCACTCGCTATCAGGATTTGGTTTCCCACAAGGCCTTCAAGGAGCTTTGCCACCGGCTCGGCTTGATTGTCAGCCGTGATCAGATACACATAAATCGGTCCAATGACGGAGGAATGGCAAACACTAATGCAACATCCGATATGGTAAACCCCAACACCACCTCTAACAGCACAACAAACGGGATGCCCCCGGCACCCATGCCCTCAGCACAGCCATCGGTTATAACCATAGGAAACATATCGATCACCACCAGTGGCGTGGAAACGGAAATGGAAATGGAGACAGATGTCGAGGCCTATGCCGGCGACGATGAGTCTCAATCGAATGGGGAGGAGGTAACTCCTAGGGGCAGTGGCTCCCACAACTCTCATAACTTGGAGTTCGTGCGAGGAAAACTATACAGATACGAAAATTCTGAAGGGTCACAGCTGGTAAACCAGCTCACAGAGGGCGATACCGACAAGGTGGACTCCACTATGGATATGGAAACAGACGCTCCACCCACCACGCCGGCCAAGTCCCTGACCACTACAAGTGCGACGAAAACTTTCCCCCGGCTCTACAAGTCGGCGAAGGCCAAGTGCTCGGCCCGAGGATCAGGCCAAAGCAGTCTCCAGAGCGGAGGGAGCACAGCACGCCGGACCATAGCACACAATCGGTCCGTGGTTTCGTCTGCCCTGACCTCTGGCTCAACGGGTGCTCAACGTGGGCGACCTCCGGTGTCCGGCAGCCATAACTCGACTACGGGCGCTGTCCGAAAACACCAGCCGGAGGCCACGTCCTGTCCGCCCGGAGCCGCTCGCAAGACGCACCACCAAAGGATGCCTCCAGCGACGGCACTGGCCTTTCAACAGGACGAGACCATGGCAGCCGCTGTGTCCGGTCGCTTGTCAAAGTCGGGAAGAGCAGGGACCTCTGTGCAGAAGCAAACTTCAAGCCATCTGTAAGTCATTGGAATCTATGATCTTAGAACTCTTTAGAATAATCCTCCCTACCTCCGAACAGCAAGACTAGCAAGGGAACAGGCGGTAGTCGACTGGGCGTTACCAGTTCGAAACAAACCCATGGAACTTCTCAACGAATGGTTCCCAGGAGCACCACTACATCGCTAATGCGACAAACTGAAGTTAAGCGGGTATGTTAAGCTATAACCCTATTCTTTAGGAATCTATTAAACCTATATATTACAGCGCATGAACTTGATGCGCGGCGACAGCGATTCGGATTTGCTCTTCAATGACTACCTATTCAAGTGATTTGCAGATTGCCATCGGTATCGATGGCATGCATGTGGTTTCGTTTCAGCTTTCAAATAGTAATTTTCACTAATCAAAATAAATCGGAAAACAAATTGTGTTGCTGAACTCGACCCTTTGTTTAATTCCCTAAGGGGATCCCTTACCGGAGATGAATCCATAATCATCTTCACCACATCGGCTCCAAACTTCTCCTTGTATTGTTTCGCCAAACGTTCGGATATCTCGCTGAGGGATGTGAGCTTGGGCTCCTTGTAGACATACTCGATGGCATGGTCTTCCTCAAAGTACATCTGAAATGAAAAAATTTTGATAAGCTGGGGGAAGACTGTAAGCTTGAGAGTTTCCATACCATTCCATAGAAGACCACTCTGTAGAAACGGCCCAGCATTCGTTTGCCAGAACGATTAACCTCGACGATTTTGTTGTAGGCCTGGGTGAGATGCTCATAGCAGTGAGCCAAGTCCACGAAGCTGCGATCCCTCTCATACATGGGGAGTATCAGCTTATAGAGCTCTCCCAGACATTCAAATCTTTCAGCACGATCCAGGAAATCGGCGCATTGCTTCAGCTGCTCCAGAAGCATTTGTTCCGTGTACTGGGAGTCCTGAGCACCAGCATCCAGCTTGAGACCTTGCTCGTCCAGCGGTATGTTGCGGGAGATTTTCCCAAAGGCTGTGGACGACCAACTGAGGCTGCAGCCGCCTTTCAATCGCAGGTACTCGCACATCAGGGCAGCTATGTGGAGATGGCAGCAGGCTGCCTCTGAGAGATTTCCATTCTGTTCGTGATTCCTGGCCATGGTCACCAGCCAGGTGTGTCGCAGCTCCGGCGTGGAGGCATAGGAATTGGCCAGGGAGTGCTGCAGCTCCAGCAGTCTCTCTGGGTCCATGTGATGGGCCTGCATCTGGGCCGTGGCCATCAGAACCGTGCGCACTCTTCGGGTGAGATCCTTCACCTCCATCGGGAAGCCAGTGCCCTTCATCGCCTTGTCGCTATTGGCATAGCTATTGATGATGGACAGGCTCTCCTGGAAGCGGGCATTGTTCAGGCCGATTACGTTGCCAATCATCTGGGAGACCGAGATTATCACCTGGAGGTGAACCCGCGTCAGTGCCTTGCGGCCACTGAACTCAAAGTTGCTGCGCATGAGGAGGTACAAAACGGCACAGGACTCGTGCCGGATCTCCACCAGGCGACTGTCGCAGGCTTTGAGGAGTTCGTACACCATCTGGCCGCACAACATGGCATTGCCCTTGAACAGGGCCACGGCGTAGTTGTTGATGAAAGCCCGCAAGGCGGCAAAGACGTGTTTGGAAAGCCTCTCCGACTGGCCCAACTGCAGGAATCTCAGATAAATCCGCGCCAGCTTTGGCAGGATCAGACTGTCGGCCAGGAGCTGCCTGAATTGCAGGACATACATGCCCAGACAATCCAGTATGATCATGCCCACCTCAGTGGCCAAGTTCGATTCGTAGAGAGCCAACTGAGTCCGGGCCAGAGTGTCCATATCCTCCAGCAGGTGCTCCCGGGTCTGGTTCAGGGTTCCGCTGTTCGGCTGCTGACTCTCCTGGCTGCCATTTTCCAGCCCTAAGGGTGGTTGTGTCCTTGCCGGAAGAGTATTGGCCTTGGCGGAGCGTCCCGACTTGGAATCCTGCGTGAATACCACGTTCTTCTTGCCCACGTACCGGAACTGCAAGAGACACAGGTCCAGAATGGAGAGGAACTGCAGGGTCTCCGATTCGTTGCAGTTCTGCCACCAGCCCACCATCTGATCCTGGGAGAGGTGCTTGATGATGAACAGGAAGCCCAGCAGGAGGTCCTTGCTCTCCGCGGAGCTAAACTTGTCACAGCGGGCCAGGATCTGGGCGTGGGTGACGCTAACCGAACGATTGTGTCCGTTTCGCAGAGCCACATCAGCGTCTCCGTTGGTATAGTTGCCAATGGTAGTGGTGTCCTGCGAGTGCTGAGGATTAAAAGGACATGAGTGAAACTCTGTTTACAAGAAAAATTCCAAGACTTACCCCCGAATCCGTGTTGGAGTTAAGGGACAGATTGGAGATGCCATTACTGATCGGCTGTCCGGCGATGGCCGCCAGGTAGTTGTGCTCCTTCATGTGCACCGAGGTGCGGTAGGGACTCGGCTGATCACAGTGCAGTGTTAGGCGATTCTTGGACCTCGGCGTGGAGGTCAGGGAACCGAATGTGGAGGAATCCTTGCTGAACACATAGCTGCTCGAGCAGCTCAGTCTCTTGGTGTACGACGCAGAATCCGCATAGACATGGCCATTGGGAGTGCAGGCCCCCGACTCGGACAGGTCATCGATGCGATGGATGTTGTCCATCACCACTCCCAGCCAGGGAATGTAGAGCAGAGCAATCCTGGAGAGCTGGCCCTTTTGTTGGTACCTGTTGTCCAGTTCGTGCTTCGCCAGCAGATCCTTAAAGATTCCCAGGGCATGTCGTCTCACCGGGCTCACTTCGTTGAGGCTGCTCTTCAGTTCCTGGAGCAGCAGCCCCGAGATGAAGTGCTGGCGACAAAACTGTTCCGACAGCGTGAAGTGTTGCATCATCTCCGGGGGTTTGTTCTTCGGATTTAGGACAAACGGCAGATTCAAGGGCACATAGTGCTCATGCTGGCATATTTCCTGCAGGAAGTTGAACTTGTACTCGTGGAGTATCCTGGGGTTTCCCGGCGAGAACTCGCCCATGTAGCAGCGTATCAACCGGAACACGAATCCTCTGTCCATGTAAGTCAGACACTGACGCACAAAGTGCGCCAGGGAGCGGTTGAGGATGTTGGTCTCCTCCGCCAGATCCTCGTAGCGTGTGGTGATATAGGACATCAGCACCCTGATGAGCTGCTCCACCCGATCGGCATAGTCCTTGGGGAAGCGTTCGTTTCGCAGCATTCGAATCCTGCCGGTGGCCAGCAGATGCTGGGCCATGCTCTTCACAATCAAATCGAAGAATATGGAGGAGTACCGCATGAACTTGTTGACTATCAGGAAGTCGGGGTTGCTGGGATTCAGGAGGTACGGCAGGTGTCTGCAGAGCTCTCCATGAACGGTCCTTTGCCTGGCCGTTTGCTGGCTGTAGTACGGGGCGTGGAACACAAACTTAACGTACGCGGCCAGGAGGTCGGGTCTCTTGGCCTGGTCACTGATCAGATGGATGATATTCGTCAGCAGCCGGATGACATTCAAGCCGATTTCCTCCGACTGTGTGTGAACCAGCAGGGTAAACAGCTCATTCAGCAATGTGGGTAAGTAGTTTATCAAGGACTTCATATCAATGGCATGGGCCGCTTTCAGAATCTTGCAGGTTTCCGTCTCTGCCGGCACAGCTCCGGTCTTGCCACCTTCCAGCAGTCTCTCGCAGTGGGCGAAGAAGTTGTGCAAGTGCTGATCCGCCGTCAAGACCGTGGAATCCAACCGCAGTGCCACCGTGTAGAGATTCCTCTGATTGTCAATCCATTGGATATCCGGGCCGCAATTCTGCTGAGAAATTGGAAGGGTTTGTAGGCAGCCAGGTGGTGGGTTGGGGATTGGGTTGGATTTGGTTTGATTTTTTTGTGTGGATTTGTGCAACAAGCATGCATTTCAGTGCGGAGAGGAGGAGACACAAGAAAGAAAGAGCACAGGTTAGTTGGCAAGCCATGGGATGGATGATCGAATGGGTGGTGAACGGGGTAGAGACATTACACGGAAAAAACACATCATGAGATGATGAATGGCCACTCAGCGAAGCTCACAACACCCCCAACTTACCCCCTTGCCCCATCCGAGGGGTTGAATGGAGAGATAGCCCACTGGCAGAGTGGCAGCCACCGGAAGCAGTTGCTCCTCCAGGCAGATCCTATTCTTCTGCAGCAGCGGCAACCAGGCATAGCCAATGGGTGTTTCAAAAGCTGCATGGGCATCGCGTTTCTTGCTGAGATTACAGGACACATGGTAGAAGGAGAAGAGCAGATGGTGCTCGGGAAACAGGCCCAGGGGAAGACGCAGTTTGATCTCCTCGTACCAGGTGGGTGTGACATTGTGATGCAGTACAGGGCAGGCTATTTGGGACACCAGCAAGTCCTGACCAGGACGTCCATAGATACACTGTCATGAAGAAAGATTGGTAAAGGGTTTTGTATGAAAAATGGTTTCTTGAAAGCCTCACCTTCAATGGTTTGCTGTATTCTCCATCGCCATCTCGTAGCTCCACCACCACAGTGATGTTTCTGGCCCTCGAGAACAGTTTCTGGCTATCGAACTGCAAGCTCAAAGGATACACATACAGGTGATTGCAGAAACTGGTGTAGGGATGAGCCTCCCGTTCGCTCTGGCTCTGGAACTCTGCCAACTCGATCGTGGGAGGATGCTTGGAGTTTGGATTGAACGTGGATAGCGGAGCCAGGGACTTGGTTAGGCCACAAGGTGTGATCTGGTCCAGGAACTGCATCTGCATCTTCAGGCTGCCCGGAATGATGGTCAGCTTGCTTAGTTTTTCCGGCTTGCGATAGTCCACCAGGAGCTTTAGGAGTTCTTCGTCCTTTAGCTTGGGCAGCTCCTGCCTGTAAATGGGACTGAACTCGAACTCCTTGTGGGGATCCACGTCCAGTTCGTGGCTGTACTGCTTGAACAAGGGACGGGCGGCCCAGGCGAAGGGCTGCCGGTAGTGTCCAATGTGCTGGGCACAGCTCTTGGCCGCCTTGTAGACCTTTTGGCCCAGCTTGGGATCCTTGCCGGCCTTCAGGTAGGGCTCCGCTGCCTGAGCTATGCCGCACTGCAGCAGTTTCTCGATCCTAACCACCAGATAGATATCCGCATGGGGAGCTGTCACCGAGAGGAGGCACTGCCTCAGTTGCTGGAACTGCTGGCGATTTGCGCGGAGCAACTCCGCAGAGACTCCATCGAAGAGGGAGTGTGGTGCCTGGCAGGCGGAGCTTCGTTCATCCCCCTCGGTGGACTTTCTAGGAACTCCACATCCGGCCACTGAGGCAGGAACTGGGCTATTGGGCAGCAGCTGAGCTGCCCACTGTTCGTTGACATTAAAGTAGAAGTTCTCACTGAGCTTGCGATTCGCTTTGGCATCGAACAGGGACAAACTGGTGATGTAGGGCTCCACTTGCTGTTCACTGGACATGGAGGACCCCTCGTCCTGGGGAACACATTGCATCCGGAAGCGCAGGTTATGGCAGGTCAACAGCAATCTAGTGCCAAAGTGCTCGCGGTACTGTTCCACGTTGTCACTGCCACTGGACTTGGCTGGGGACTGATAGCAGGCAAACAGACGGCGACGCTGCTCCCTCCTAGCCAGAGCTATGGAGTGATCTGTCTCGCGTCCATACTTCATCAGCTGGGGATGCAGCGACTGATCCAAGCCCTTTAAAGTGCCAAAGATAATGGGCTCGGCAGCTGGTGGCTGCAGCTGAGGACTGGGATTGGAGTTGGCCGACGGCTGACGCTCCAGCGAGGCATTACGCTTCTCCTCCTGGGCTCGATTTTGGGCCAACACAGAGGACAGCTTGCTTAGCCAGTCCTTGAAGTCCTGCTCATTTTCGGCGGCCAGGGTGAAGGATTTATGGCCAGCTGTCATGCGGAGTTCAAAGCAAAAGCGCCCGCGTTTGGGATTCTAAGGAAAGTAATGATTAGTTTTTGATTTCCTTGGGGATTAGGAAAGCACTCACCTGCACTACCTCTGTGCAGAAATCCATAACTATGGTTGCCTTGGCCTCGCCCTGCTTTTCGTCCTTGTGGAGCTCCAAGATGTATGTGCCGTCGATCTCCTGCCTCAAGTAGCAATAACGCCTTTTAAAGGACTTGTTGCCAATATTGGCAAACATGCGATCTGAGGCGGAGTCGGGTCCTTTTAAAAGGTAGCCCTGTTTGGTGATGGTGTCAGCCTGCGAGCGGGTCATTTGCTCATCAATGCGATCCTGATCGGCATCGATTTCGTAGACCTCCTCCAGCAGTTCTTCCGGGGGGGAAACACTATAAAATATCAACTATTATACCAATCGTTAGAGTACTAATAATAAACTACCAACCTGGGCAAATCATGACAATTACCACCGTAGGCATTGTATTTGTAATGAATCAAATGATTCTTGGCCCTATAGGTGTATAAGGCCTGTCGCGTGAACCGGGTGCACTCCGCCCTGGAGCCATGAGTATGTGCGCCATCCACCAAATCCTCGCCGTTCCCATCCGCATCCGCAAACTCATCCACCTCCTCCGGCTGGGCCAAGTGGGAGCGAATGGTCATCGAGGATAGAGCCGATTCGTAGGAGGAATCCTTGTGACTAGTCGATCCATTCGAGCACTGGGAGCTCTTCCGCGATAACTGGCCATGGCCATTCGAGTTGGTAAGACTACTTTGGCTGCTGCTGATCCCATTGCCATTGGTGGCCGAGCCATTCCCGTTGTGGAGACTTCCGTTGGATTGAATGCTGCCCTGCCGGCTCACCTGGCTGTGACCATTGCCATTTCCATTGCCAATTATGGGAGGACCGTGGAGGGGACACACGATCGCCTCGTTGGGAGGCTCGAATCTGTCGGCCACTGTTTTGGCGTTGGAACGCTGTTTCCGGGGCATGATGATTTCCTGAAAGACAAGCAGGGTAAGTCTAGACTCTGGACCTTTGAAAACATAATAATAGTATAAGGTTCAATGCCCAATATAAAATTTAATTAATTTATAGTCTGACGTACTGCCATAAATTCTCACAACACAATGGCCTGAAAAAATTCCCAGAAACCAAAGTTTATTTATCTTTTCTACATTATTAGCCAAAAATTTGTTTTATTTTCTTCTGAGAATCCCAACGTATGATTGTTTATTTGTTTTAATATTGTGTTATAAGTAAATACTCACCGAAACATCATCAGCCGGATAGATGAGCAGCTCCCTCTGCGGATCATTCTGTATAACAGTTTTATTTTTGGCTATAAAGGCTTCGAAGTCGATCGGCTCCACCACCAGAGGCTTATTCTGCAATTCAAAAAAGATTTTCGAGGATGAGTTTTTATTTTCCTGAATTTCATTTGCTAATTTATGCGTGCCACTTGTAAAAACAGACCAGAGATCTATAAATAGTAGACCCAGAATATAATTCCCAAATGTTATCCATTCCCGAATGCAGGCGGATTTTGAGAGATTTATCGGAACTACGCACGCCATAAATTTATGACCACTTTGTGATGGCTGCTGCTGTCTAACATGCACACTGGTTCACTCACCCCTCTCTCATTTTCACACCACTCACAAGATGGGGGGACCTTGACCGCATTACACAACGGATGCCATTCTGTAACGATGTGTTCCATGTCTGCGGCTCGGCATAAACAAATTTCGTTTAAACTTTAAACAATTTCTAACATTTTGCGGATATTTTTGGAATTTGCTTTTTGCGTCTTGGGATTTTTGCCAATTTATTTGAAGTTATAGAACTGGGAGAGGAGGTATATGACCCAACCTGTGACCCAACCCTTTCTCTTCGTGACACAACCTGTGCGGGCCAAAGTGCCACTTCCGTTTGGGGTCAACTGCCGGATATGTGCTGTCATTTTATTGCCTTCTCGAAACTTGAGGTGTGTTTCTTTTTCTGTTTTCTGTTTTGGCCAGGAAGCGACAGGTCAATTTAGGCCATGGGAATGACTTAACAACTGCGCATATAGCAAGGACATTAGAAAAAGGATTGTCATAGGTTGCGGTTATAAAGTTTAGGGATTTTAATTAAGAGAAAAGGGCTATCCTGGGAATATTCTTAAAAAATACCTAAGAATATAACCAATCCCTCTTAAGACTGTTTAAAAAAACCTCTGCTAATCAATTCCAAATGCGTCTGAGGCCAAACCTTGGCTTTGGCCCTATTACAAGCCTATGTATATGCATTTCGTGCTCCACCACGCCCACAGAATTTAGCCCCTCCCATGTCTTGCCACCATTTTTCAAGCTGCAATGTCAATGCACTTTTGCCCACTTAGCCTGGCGGGCGTTAGCCACTTTTGGGTTGGAGCTTGGGGGAAAGCATTTTTCATTGTGGGCTCAGGTTCGGGCCTTTTTCCAACAACAGCCTCTTGGCACGCACTGCATGCAAATTGGCAGACGACGCCGATGCCGCTTTGGTTGCGTAATTAAAAACCGGCGACAGCAATTTTAAACCACAAACTACACAAGTGCATGGGCATTACGCAAAAAAAGGTAAAAGCCATCACCCATCAACCCATCAGCCATCAATTCAATTACCAATTGGGCAGCTCAGCCACAGACCCGAGAAAGTTGGGCAAACATATTTTTTGGGTGGATTGTTGGGGTGTCGTGGCCAAAATGCTAAAAAAAAATGCAAACAATAAAGAAAATTATGGTGGTCGTTATTCGAAGACACGCAAATTCGCGGTGAAAGATTTCATCAATCTCCTCGACCACCAACTGGTCCAGCAAGGCGTGAAGACCTCAGAGATGCATCAGAGATCCACAGCAATCAGTGACCATGATCGCGAGCCACCGAATTCATCAGCATCATCTGGAGGAGTAGTAATGCCGAAGTCCAATATAATGTTAGCGGTTTGAGGCGCCAAGGCAGGCCAATCGTGACGATTTATGCATATTTGAGAGAAACAAGTCGGCCGGGCCTCAAGTGGCTACAGTGGCTACATCGTGGCAGAGTACCCCTTCAAACGATGCCCCTGGTCTTCAAAGTCCCCCCCATCTAAATAAGGCTTGACTTTCATTGATTTTGCCAGAGCAATTGGCCCTGGCATGTCTTGAATGTCACTTGAGTTGGAGACCTCCTCGCTTATCAATTGAAATTGCAACAATGCGGCAGATGCCTTGGCATGAAGATATATCCGTATATACCCTACCATATATAGACTGAAAGGGTGTCGGCTCATTTGGATTTCACTTTGAAGTGGAAACCATTGAAGTAGTCTGCCGTCCTGCATTCCTCCCCCTATATTCTAATAGAAGCTACTGCTCTTCCTGATTTGCATTTGGCGTTCATGGAAAAATTGTGACTAAATTTAGCTGGGTTATTGCATATGATTTGTGGCTGTCTGGGTCTGGTGAACTTCTGACCCGCACGAAAATAGTGTTTTTAAAAGCTTTTCGATTGCTTAAGTGCCAGAGGAAGTCAAAACAAATCGAGGTTGTTTTTATGGTAATTTTCTATTTGAAATTCTAAACGAAAAGCTCTAAAAATATTGTACATGCCTTGACTTTTCAAATATTTATTCAATAAAATATAACTCATTACAAACTAGTTATTGTGCTTTGACTTTAGGGGGTCTTTAAATCATTTTTTCAATCTATTCAATATTTCCAGGGTCTATCCCTTTTGAAGCTTAAATATTTGCGTTTGTAAATAAACAAACAAAATAATAAGTAGGACGCAGAGTACACAACTATTAAAGTTTGTTTATTTGCAGTGTATGGTCACTGGGAAGAACTGGCAGCTGGCATACGTCTCTGGCATAGGAATCTGAAATATGAATTCCATAAATTTATGCCAATGCATGGATTTCCTGTTCCGAGCCTAACCCCTTGGCCCAACCCCTTCTCCCTCATTGCAGTAATAAAATGCATGAAGAGCATTGCACTGATAAAATTCATAAACACATATTTACTTACAATTTATATAAAATTTTGAAGGCAAAGTTTCTTTATCAGGCAGAGGAGAGGTTTGGCCAGTCATGGGATTTGCAACTTGGGAACTGGTTTCAGCCCAGAAAAAGACATTTGTTTTTGGTCATCTTCGGCGGGCCTGACTGTTGTTCAGTTCGTCGAACTCAAAAACACGTATAAATAAATTAAAAAAGTTGAGCGAATAGCCGATATGTGTGCAAGTACAAGCTGCCACCTAAATGGGTGGCGGCTAGTCAGCGGGTTTTCCCTCCCCATTCCAGACATTCCTCGCAAACGTGTTGCAAAAAAATAAAAATAAATCAAAACCTAATAATACAACCTAAAAGTAAAGAAATTTCTCGCATTTAGTTATACAACTTAATAATTTATGACCGGGGCAAGAGGTGAACTTTCTAAGCAACCGATTCTATTCAAATGTGGACAAGCCACAGGTTTCACCCAGTTTCCAGTCCGATTCGTAGGCAAATTTTCAAACAGCGGACAAATGAGGAAGCTCATCATTAAATGCGTTCAATTCAAAGTAAATACTTTGGCAGCGGCATTCATTAGATGGCTTTTTGTTGTCTCCATTCGAGCCACAATGAGGGAGAAATGTCGGACTGCATAAGCATTTAAATCATACAAAATGTCCCCATAATGCGAGCACAATTATACCATAACTATAGAGTATTCATAACTAATCGCTCGTCGATCCAGGGTTATGCAAGCCATGGATGGTGATGACGGCTCATTGTTGTTTAGACCCGTTTAAATAAGTCTCAGTTCAGGGTGGGTAAAAGTTCCGCAACACTTTCATATGTTGCACAATTTTCCATAAAATAAATTATTAAATATTAAAATTAATGCTGGATATACTCTATTTGTCTCTGAGTTTAGTTTCAAGTACTTGGCTAATTATTTAAATGCCCCATTTGTTGGCTTAATGCGGTGGCAGGTGGGAAGCCCTTAATGGTTTTAACCTTCCAAGGTCAACAGCCAACTGGTTTCCACACTGCAGTGAGTACTCTTGTTAGCCAACTCGACCAGAAGTACAAGAATAACCAGAAGCAACCTTGAGGACAAACAAAAACTGAATGGGGAAACCGGCAGAGAAAAATAATTGCCCTAAAAGCTGGAAAAGCAAGTGCAACCAAGGCAGAAAAAGGTGGAAAATCAGAGGAAAAACAAAGCCAGACAAAGCCACAAAAAAGTTCCCACGCAGAAGGAAAAAAATATAGAGAAATAATTATATAGGAAGCTCATCTAGTTCTTGGTCATGTCTCGTATAATTACCAATCGAATTGCGTTGAAAGAAAGTAAAGTAAAAGAAAAGAAAAGCGCGCACACACTCTTTTATTTTTTTTGAGAAGACTGGCAAACAATCAAAAGACACGCCAATGGCAAACATTTGCTAAAAGAATTATTGGAAACTTGTAGACGGGGATGTATAATTGCCTCAAGACTAGCCCCGATATTTTCTCATTTAGAGATGCTTCTTTGAGTGGCGCTGGAAAGTTGACAGTTTCAGTGCAGTTTTCAGTGGAAAATTGGGTGCCTGAGCACCGAAGAAGCTCTGAAGACGGGTTGAATTCTGCCATGTGTGGCCGTGGCAACTTTCTAAAAAGTACTTAGCACTTTCAATTACAAATTGTACAATACATGGTGTCTTGCAAGAAAGACACCAACCAACCAGCAGCAAGCACCAGCAGCCACTATAATAATACCAGAATCTGGCAAACTAATTACATTTACGGCCATTGCAATAAAGCTGCCCGGTTTCCATTGTGTGTGCATTGGGAGAGTGTGAAATATGTGTTAATTACACAGCGGCAGCATCACCGAATGGTCATCGTTAAAATCAAGTATCTCTTCTCCCATTAATTGCTCAATTGTCGGCAGATCTATGAGAAATCAACGGGGTCGACAAACCCGCTTTTTGTTGGCCAAAAAGTGAAGTGCCACCAAGCGCCACACCCATTTCATAATCTTCGGCCTGACATTTGAATCGAAAGTGTGGGCCCGGGCTGGCAAACAAGTTTCCTACCAAAGAACTTTAAAATCTTTGAAATAAATTGCATGCAATGGTTCAAAATAAAGGTTATTTTCATTTAACAAAAGTCAAATGTCTTGGATTAAGTTTTGTATAAATGGTATCTATACAAGCCATGATCTCTTGACACACTCATCATTCCTTGGAACTCATCAAACCATCTTGGTCGTGGCCAAAACATTGCTAGCTACTAGTCTTTTTATTTCTTGAGGCTCAGCATTTCGTGATGTCCCCATTCGAGGGCAGTAGCAATGATGCCCAAATCCCAACTTTCATTCTGGGGAAAAAACAAAAGGCCAGCGCTTACAAAAGTTGC